GACCTATTTCTGCTCTTATTGGGTCGAGGGGAGGTGCCACGCAATACTAGAAGCACTTTGTCGCAGTAAAATTGGCGTTTCGTTGCTCTATGATTTTTTAAGTTAGAGGGTGCCAATACTTTTTGTGGGTTAATTTCGCAAATTTTCCATCAAATTATTCAAAAACTGCGTTAATCTAATTTTAATCAGTAAAACATGATTATAATCGAAAACTACATTAGATTTGCTAAATGCGTACAAATTTTCATGCAAATTTGATAATGCATGCCAAAGTTATAGCCAATTTTATTTAGCTTGTGTGGGTGTTGCCAATACTTGTTCCATTGACTGTAGCTAATTTCAATGTGTCGTTTAGACATCCGTGGATTCCAGCAAGTACTTACGTACATATATTTAGCCACTAAATCACTTCCTGACTTTGAGCTTGGTTTTTAAACAATTAATACAATTGCATATATTTATTTACAGATACTATACATCCCAAGCATAACCCCACTTGGCGCATCCTATCAACCCTGTACAATCTAACAGCCATTGGATTTGTAGTTTATCCCATCGCCCTCGGAATCCTGTTGGCCTTCAAGCCGTGTCAGTTTCCCTTCCTGGGGTCATTTCTCCATCCGGGGGACGTGTGTCAAAGCAGGATTCAAACCTTATCTTGGGCTGTCTTATCCAAATGCAAATTCTGGTCTGGAATTACTTCCCGCTGTGTCCTAATAATCACGGACGTCGCCATAGTTTCGCACATCTATGCTATTGGAATCACCTACATATTTGTCGTCCTACTCCCAGGAAATCTATTCCTCTGGGAAGAATCGTGTCGCGCCTTTAGCGGGAAAAATACAAATTTGAAATTCTACAGAACCCTTCAAGTTCTCCAGTCGGTGTTAAATTCGTCCAACCGTTACCAAATTTTCCCCATGGTTGCATATTGCTTTCCGGCGGTGCAAATTTTAGATGCCTTTTTACTCATCAAATATTACGACACGATGGATTATTCCTTGTTTATGATTGTCATCGTCCAATATGTCCAATGTCTCTTTTGCATCGCAATGCTGTTCATGTGGTCAGCAAAAGTTTATGCAAATAGTTGCGCCTGGTTGGCAAAGCGGAAACGTAGCGTGAACAAAGGGGGCACATTTGAGCGGAAATTCCTTAGGGGACTGGTCCCCTTAAAGGTGTTGTTTGGCATGAGCTTTGTCGATGAACTGACGCCTTTAGTGATTGAGCAGTTTTGCGTGTTACAAACCATTAATTTGTTGTTACTCAGGTGAACATACTTTAGCATTAAGGTACCATTACATACTTAATGGTTTATACAGTCAGGTGCAAAACTTTGCGGTGAATTTTCTTTGTCGGCACGTGTATCGTCTGCCACTTCTTTCCCTTCATTGTCTCATAGCACCCCAAGTCTCATGTCTCACTTTTATATGAGGGCATTCCAGTTTTACCATATTGGTAGCAAGTTTTTACTGCATCTCTTTCGAACCATACGTACATGTTTAATAGCACTAATCGTGCAATTCTACACAAATCTATGTACTTGTAGCCAAACGAGGTTTCAAAGAGCACAACTGATTTTATTTACCTTGTAAATATATTAATTAGCTAACTAAATATATAGTTGTAATACATTCATCAGTCCTGAATAACCCATACATATTTACCCATATTTACCCATATTTACCCATTTACCCTCTTACATTATGTAAGTGTGAGATACATATAAATACAGGAAAATATTTATATTTACGAAAAATCTTCAAAATATGTGTGAAAATATGCAATATGTACGAAAACCTTAAAATATTTAAAATATGGAAAACTGTGTTTGAATTTTTCCGATAGTGTATAGATGTGATATCAGCATACGAAGTTTTAAGTACAATATGACTTGGCATGAACAACTTATAAATACATAAATACATATCCGCCGTCTGTTTATGACACGATAAGTTGATCTAAATGTAAGCTATTAATTAATTAATAAATTATACTTCAGGTACACCCAAGTTACGGTGATTTATATTCTCACAAGAACGACGGCATTATATCGGTGGAAAAATATTGTCAAGGTGTGCATCCATGTATGTATTTAACTAATGTGCCTACTTTTAATTAAAGTACCTGAATCTGACCAATGAATGATTTATAAATATTACCGAACTTGAAACCAGTCTAGGACACATTTGATAAAAAATACGGCTTACATAAATTAAAGAAAGGCCATTAATCTATGACAATAGTCATAATTACCTAGTTTATGCAAACCTGTTGAAAAACTTTTCCAACAAATTTTTAAAACGCAGCTCGAGCTTACCAATTAAAATATCATTCTTTCTTAAGTCGGTAAACGATTCGTCACTGTTCGATCTCAAAGCAACATAGATGAGTAGTTCACAAATTATTTTAATATTTTATGCATTTAACTACACTGTAAATAATCTGGTAATAAACATTACGCAAAGCACAAGTATATGTCTCTACCAAAGTTGTAATGATAAATTGGTACCGTGTGGATTACCGTGTGGTAATGGCTTGGTAATAAAGTTTTACCATCATGGTAACCAATTTTTACTATCTGGTAAAACATTATTACCAAATTTATTATTGAGAAATCATTACCTGCGTGACTTTACCGGATTGTTAAGAGTTTACATATTGATTTATACATGTAGTTATATGTTGATACCATTGTACCCTCTTAAAAATTACGTTACCCTTTTAAATAGGACCTGCGCTAAGAATTACGTATTAAGTAAACTATCCTAAACCTATTTACTTTATGCCCATACCAGCATTCAAGATGAGTTTACTTTTTAAAGGGGGGCATCATTTTTAAGAGTGCAATTCTGTAACATATCTAAATAAAAATATCGTCATCGCAGACATTTAATGTGGTCAGATCTAATAAAAGTACCTGAACCTGACCAACACAATATATTACGTAAGGTTCATCCAGTTTATGAAACATTTTATACAAAAAAGTACAGCTATTAGGGACGCTGTAAATGAGTACAAAAATGTTTCGTCGTGCATAATCACCAAAAGCTGGTCAATTAAGAGTACACTCGCTTCTTGAGAGGGTGCAAAAACCAGCCTTAGTAAACACCACGTATATTCAATATACGTGGGTGTTTTATTATTAATTTTCAAAAGGTATGTTCCGCACTGTTTCTCGCCAAAATTTTGATGAAAGAACAAACTTCAAATACATTTAGGAGGCTGTGATTTTTTTCAGTTCTGTAGGTTAACATTAACACTAGCAATAACCCATTAAAATTTACCTCGGAAATATGCCAAAATTTACGACTTCATATCACTATCATCCGAAAACCGTTTTCCCCTGATGTCTTTCTTTAAGTTTCGAAACGAATAATAATCACTAAGGGTCAAGTCTGAACTGCACGGGGTGTGGTTTGTGCAGGTAAAGCGATTTTCGTCTGCACTATCCCTCGCAAAAAGCCAGGTATGAGGAGGAGCGTTGTCGTCTAAAAAAAGGCCAACTCTATATTTTGACCCCACGTTTCTTTTCAACCGGAGGACGCAGCTCCTTCTGGGTACCTGCATACGCGGCCCCATTTATTGTAGTATTTACAGCAATAAATTTTATAAGGAGGGGACCTTTGATATCCTTGAAAATGGTCATCATCAATTTTTTGTCAGATTTTTGCACTTTTCAATTCTCGGGCGGTGGCAACCCCTCCTGCTTCCATTGAGGGAATTATTATTTGGTCACCGGGTCATAATAGTAAACCCAAGTACCATATGCAACTAATAAAATATTGAGCAGGTTCAAGTCTTCATTTAATAGGTTAAAATTGGCATTGCAAAAGTCGACTCGATCATGTTTTTGAGATGCCGAAAGCAATTTTCGTACCCAACGGACGGAATACATTTTCATACCTAAGTCTTCAGTTAACATGGAACAAATTGCTGGTTTTGGAACACCCATCTCATCTGCTAAATAGGACAGTTTCAATCGCGGATCTCTCATTATTGGTTCTTCTAGTTTCCGGAGCCTTTCTGTGGAAGAAACGGATTTTGAGCGTCCTGGCGACTTTTTGCCCGAGACCTCGTTTCGCCATCATTTAAAATTATTGACCCAATTGAATTTGTGTTTTGTGTTGGGCAGTTTTCATTGTACATTTTAAGCATTCAACCATAAATCTGCGACACGTATTGCCTATCCAGCATTAAAAATTAAATCACACTACGATATTTAATTTGCAAATCTAGCATTTTTTCCGTTGAGGTAAAGTTTGCCGATTTATTGCTAGTGTTGACGTTAACCTTAAGAACTGAAAAAAATCACAGCCTCCTAAATGTATTTGAAGTTTGTTATTTCATCAAAATTTTGGTGAGAAACAGTGCGGAACATACCTTTTGAAAATTAATAATAAAACACCTACGTATACTCAAAATATATTCAATTTAAAAGTTAGAGTGGAGTAGTTATTCATTATCCATTCATTCAAAATTTGAAAGAAATTACAAATTTATTGATTGTTGTTTATTGAATGTTTTATTGATGCACATATTTACTTTATCTTAAATACGCCAGATTTGATGGATTTCTTGTGCGACGCATAGCTTCAAAAAAGAATAATGAAAACAAATATTCATACATACATTTTTTATGAATATTAAACCAATAAATTCTCTTTCAATATTCATTCATTCAACAATTTTGAGAAAAAAAGTATTCTCCCACTATTTACGAATTTAGTGAATTGAGAATGAATAATGTATTCATTAAAATAAAGCAATGCTAGTATGCTGATAATCATTGAATGCAACTTAGAAACCCTGTCTAATGGAAAATATTTTGGGCGTGTTTGCTCTAAGACATTAAATCTCTTAATCTCAAGATCTGCATCGAATCTAAAAGTACCCAAACCTGACCAGCACAATGTGCATACTAAATGAACTTGATCCAGTTTATGTACGTCGTATTTTTATAAAAATGGAAGGATGTATAAAATGAAAGGGTTTTCGTCTTTAGTCGGATTAGATCCTCCAGTCCGGTACTTTTCATTACATGTAATTCCTAACAAGTCGCCCATATCTAGATTTACGATACGCCTCAGTAGCACACTTTTAAAATAACATACTTTCTGGAAATTTAGAACTTTGAACCAGATAAACTTATTTATTTACCGTAAAAGTCAAACTGGCACAAAAAACCCAGCTAGGACTTTCATAGAAAAATATCCACTTTTTACCATCGAGTTTTCCATAAAATACACAAGAAAGAATCTTTTTGTTTAAAGAAATTTTTATTTCAATATAATTAATTTATTGTGAATTTCGTCGTCAACGAAAAATAAAATACTACACAAAGAGATGTATGTATATACTTCATCGTTAATAGATTAATTGGGCCACTAGTTAGGCATTTTCCTCCAGTGATAAGTAATTACCTATATGCTTATTTAGATTTTAAATATTCCTCCGTTCAAACAAAATGGTTTCTACGAAATTGTTTTTCATCGTTTGCACGACACTATTAATTGTTTCACTCGTTGGGAAAGCTTTCTCCGTTGAAAATTTGAGTCTAACTCGAGCAGAGAAACAAAAATTGGATCAGGTATAAATTTTCATTTCAGAATGACGTAACGCATTTTTTAAAAGTGTTTATAATAATTATCCATTTCGCTTCGAATTTTAGTTTAAAGAAGCCATTTCGAAAATTACTTTTCCGGCTGAGTGGATGCAACAGGAATTGACTCTGGTTCGCTATCTGAGAGGTAAAGTTTATTTAAAATATGTAAATACTTTGGAATTGACCGTGTTTTGACTCAAATCAAAGTGTTGCAAGTTCGAATGCAAGCGGAATTTGAAGTCGAGGGCATAAGTTTCAAGAAAGTTTTCAATAATCATGGCATAAGTCCTGGTTCGGAGCATACATGTTCAAATGTTCAAAAAATATTTAATCATTCCAAGTTCATTCATTCAAAGCCTTGAAAGCAATATTTATTCCTTATTCACTCATTGATAAATTGTAAAAAAAATATTCATTAATTGTTTAACATTTACTCGTTATTCACCGTTCCTTCATTATTCATTTTATTCAAAATTCACAGTATTAGATGAATTTCTCAATTTTCCCTATGTATTAAGCATTGAATTAAAAATGCACGATGAAAAAATATTCATTTATTCAAAAATCAGAATAAAATATTCATTCAAATTTTGAATATTGAAATTGTTGAATGAATAATTTATTCATTCATCATTAAATGAATGAATGTGAACATGTATGGTTCGAAGTAAAAATGTATTTTCATTACTTATAATTAATTGATATTTATTTTATAGCTCGGGAATGGGACGTTCGGCGGGCGAAGAGTATGCTGCAAGAGGTAAGTATTCATGTAGATAATTACATAATTATAGGTGTGACACATGTAAATTTGAAAATTTTTTCTGCAAACACAAATCTTGTGCAGAATTCCGCAGAAAATTTTTCATTCGGGAAAATAATCCTGCTTATTTTGGAGAAATAACACACACAGTGCAAACTTTTTCAAGTTCAAATTTAACAAATAAAATTGAACCATTCGAAAAAATTGTTTCTGTAACTATCGTTTTCACCGAATATGTAATCTGAGTAGAATTAATTAAGTATTTAAATTAGATCTGTTTTCTTACAGACGGTCGCCTGGTGGGAGGAGAACAACATGAAAGACATTCAAAACGAGGATTGGACAGACGTTGAGAAAGACTACCCGCTTCACACCGACGGCGTCGATAAGCTTGGACAACCAGGTCAGGAATATTTTAAATAATAATGAGTATTCACATATTTGTTAACATCAAGCCAATCCATTGCATTTTAAAAATTAGATCAAACCCCATCCAGTTGGAAATCCTTGACCCTATGCATTTTTATGATTCATAGTATTTCGTCACATAATTCTATAATATAATTCAGTACAATCTCTTAATCAAATCTCTTAATTAGTTAAACATTGATAGCAAAACTTGCAAACAAAAAAATAGTCTTTTAACTGTTCTTTCAAACTAACATGATACATTTCGTTCGTTAGTTCATCAGATAACTAATTCCATAAATATATTGCTCTAAGATTGAACGATTTTCTAGCAAAATCAGTTCTCGGTTTCATACTGCTTCGATAATTAATTCGGGCTATTGCAGTTGAATAATGGTGAATTTCACATTGTTTTACAAATTTGTCGGCAAAAAACGTCAGAAAATAACAAAAACATGTGCACCAATTTAAATTTTACTCCCCTGATGTGTGATTTTTAGCAATTGTCTACGCCCTTGCGGAGTGGGATCTTCGCGGGGCAGCCGTCCAGGGCCGGATGAACCGCGTAATCCGCTGGTTCGTTAAAGGATATGATGACGTTCACACGAAATCATTTGAGTATCAAAAACTAGGCAAAACGAACGGAACCCAATGGAATGTGATCGCTGACATGGACAAACTCTCGCGCCAACAGCAGCTCTGCATCCAATGTCTCCGTTTTTACACGGAACTCGGCGTCTTATTGGAATCCCGCTATCCGGGAGCTATTAGCAAGATGTTCGCTATAAATTGTAAGCCAATACATTTAAAATTCTTAATTGCCTATTGTTGCTGTTACTTAGGGTAACAAATTTGTTACCACATCTTTTACAGTTCAATGGTGTAGTATAGGTTGATTAAAAGTGTAGATATTTATAAAATGTGCTGATATTGCAAGTAAACTTATACTTTTTTTCCAGCCCCTTCAATATTCCAAGTCATTCTCGGAGTGGTTAATCCCATTCTGTCAAAAAGTACTCTGAATGCTTTGAAAGTGCTCGGAACGAACAAGGAGGAATGGAGCAAAGTCGTCTACGCTCACTTTGAAAAAGACCAACTTCCTGAAAATTTGGGAGGAACGAGAAAATATGCGCCAGTGTGGAACGAGATATAAAAAATCATATGAATATTCGACTTAAGACCCAAACCCATAAAGTAACAGTTTCAGTGCTAACTACTTACAAATATTTTAATATCAATAAATCAGTCGGACTAATTGCTAACGAAATTAGATACACATACAGAACCGAAGCACTCAAATAAGCATGTAAATATGTTCTTACTATACCCAAAAACTAAATCCAAACTAAAATAAAATTAGGTATCTGCATGTATAGTAAATAAACAATCCTAGAATAAGGTATCACCAAGTGGCTACGACCGATTTTACCCAACGGTAGTAAGTTTATTACATTAGAACAACTTAAAAACAATGTTTTAAATATGTAAGTATCTATTTGTTTATATACCTTGTTAGCAACTTATTTCGGCAACAAATTGTTATCCTGATGGGTGACTTCGTACCTATGAACATACATATAAATATGTCTCGAATTTGGGAATTTGGAAATTTGTCTCAAAATTGGGAAAAGTTCTGATTGTAAGCTTTTATTGAATTTATTGTATAAATTTGTACAAAACTAATTATGTAGTTGAAAAGGCGGAGGTTTTTTCCAAATAATTATATGCATTGATATATGTACATAAGATGTAGACTATGAACTAGTAGAAAATTATGAATATAGGGACATTTTCCAATAAAAAATTTAGCATCCCGAATTTGAACAGACGCAATAGCACGGATGCGCAATACAACTGTAACACCGGTATCCGGACCAGTAGCAGTGATTACTGCATCCGGCGTGACTAAATCCCCCGCAGTACGTACATTTCGGAGCGATTGGGTTTTCTTGGAGAGAAATTATGGTCCCATCGTCAATGGCAACAGCTCGTTCTTGTCCATCTACCTTGGAATTTTCGTTTGGTTGGGCCGGGGCAAAATCCGAAGCTGAGCAGGTGGCCAAGCCCTTAATATACAAGGAAATTTAAATTTTGATGATGATCATCATAATTGTTTGAAATTATATCCTTACTTACCAAAGCCAAAATGAAAATTGAAGCCGTTTTGAATTGCATTGTAAATATTGTGTTTCTTTAAGTTGAAAACTGTTGTATTATTATGATTATGTTGGGGAAGTCGTGAAATGAAGTCTGATGAACTTGGAACGTCTCTGCGCATTTTTATACTAGCAGAATGCGTCGTCATTTGTTGACAGGGTATAATTTTTGTTTACAACATACATGTTCAGCGAGAACCGGACGTGACAATATCATCGTACGTATTTTATTGTATCGGGCAGTCAGCAACAGTCGAATCACGTGGCAAGCTCCCAAATAACAATTATAAATGAGGATAACTTATCACAAAGATAAGCCACCTCGCGCATCCTGGCACGTAATATTTAAGGTTGGCATGTGTGTATGTACATACATATGTTGATTGCTTACGGTTTCAACAGTTGTAATCAATTCATCATGAATCATCGCGTCACTGCGCCTCTTTGTACCTACGTACGCAGTTGATCACATTAATGTATATTTTTAACCAATGCATTACCCGTTATCACTTGTTGTTGATGCAGACACACAATTATGTTCTTGTTTACCTTTCGCTTATATAAACCAACTAAATAAGCAACAAACAACAACAATAACAGCCTTGTCACATCCGATATTCTCCGAATTAGTTTTTACCGATTTAATGGAAATTTGTTGTTGTAAACATCCCGTATCTCTATGTACGCAGTTAATAAATTATGTTGCAACTTGCCAGTATATAAACTTGCAGAGATCTATTCAATTCATCAGCTATTATTCAAACGCACAACTCAACTAAGCTCCAACAAGTATTGCGGCTTAAATAATACAACTAAATAGCAACCTCAGAAATATATTATTACTAAACAACAATGGAATTCAAAATGGTTTCAATTTTCCTCGTCGTCTTGGCCTTTGTAAGTACATACCTATGAACTAATTAAAAAAGCTGATCTTTATCAAAATTTATCAAAATTTAAATTTCCTTTTACGTATTAAGGGCCTAGCCACCTGCTCAGCTTCGGATTTTGCTCCCGCCCAACCAGACGAAAATTCCAAAGTAGATGGACAAGAACGAGCTGTTGCCACTGACGATGGGACCATAATTTCGCTCCAGGAAAACCCAATCGCTCCGAAGTGCACGTACTGTGGGGGTTTTAGCCACGCCGGATGCAGTAATCACTGCTACTGGTCCGGATACCGATGCTACAGCTGCATTGCGCATCCGTGTTATTGCGTTTGCTCAAATTCTGGATGCTAGATTACTACTGGAATATACGTCTTGATAAACAAGTATAATTTATTACGGGTTATTAATTTAAATCACATATTAATATAACTAATGTAATGTAGGTTTCCCACCTTTTACTATTTAATCATTTACAAGTTCATATAGCATATTTAATAAATCTCTAAATAAATCTCTAAATAAATCTCTTTTTGACTCAAGCCAGTGGTGCAGATGCGATTTTTCAGAATATCCCAATAGTTTCACCACGTATGATTTCATCGTAAACATTATAGAACAAATATTTTTAAAATTCCATCTAAATATGTCGAAGACGGTAAAGAAGGTAGTTGATCGTTGAATCAGTGAGAATAAGTTACCGCCAAGAAATTATGCATTCTGGACCACCATGCACACCAGTATCGCTTAACGTAAAAAAATTAGCTATACAATTGACATGATTGATGCAGTTGGTAGTCAACTCCCACGCCTTGCTCATACAAATGGAGACGTCTAAACACATATGTTCGTAATAATTTGCAAACTAGATTCTCATCATTCACTACTTATTCCCATTCAAACTCTCGATAAGAAAATACAAACCCCGGAATTTATACTTATGCAGAGTGAATTACGGAATTATTACGTTGCGGAATTATTACTGCTCCGGTCAGAATATGCAAATGCTCTGTTCTATTTACATACCCCATCTCCAGAGCTATGATTAACTAACAAGCTGATGATTTCTAGCATTGAAGATGAATATGTAAACGCTAGAACTTGGTATGTACATGTGGCCCTTGTGAGAAGTTAATTCCCACGGTATGCTCACAGTTGTTATGCAGATATGTGTGCAACACGTGGGAATGTACGTAGATATGTTATGCCAATATTATAAATGTGACCGTAATTTCCGCATAGATAATATTTTCATATAAACCTTGCGTTGCTTGTTTGCCGTTTTTATAAAAAAATTGTTTTTATAATCCAACGAATTAATTCAATATATCGTAAAACATTTCATAATAAGGAATCTCCACATTTCCAGGTTAGATAAGGAGTTCGTCTGTTATACGTATAGCTCCCCATCTGCATGGTTTAGTTGTTCATTTGACACTCATCCAGTTATACAAAACATCATGAAGTTAATCTCGTTTTGCCCCTCAATTTTTGCGTTTGTAATACTGTTCCTCGTAACCCCTTCGTATACATCCGCTAATTTTGTTTTGAACACCCACATCTGCATTATCGGCGGGGGAGTTAGCGGCCTTACGGTGGCCAACTCACTGCAAGATAAGGGCTACAAGAACGTCCACCTGTTCGAGGCGGGGTAGCGATTTGGCGGGAAAGCCGACACTTTTCGTGCAACGGGCTATGGCGGAGAATCGATTCTGATCGAGAAGGGTCCAATAATTTATACAAAATCGATACGGTATATATGTACAGAATTTCCCATACCCTGTACACATTCATTCATTTAAAGAATGAAGAAATTGTTCATTGTTCAATTCATTCGTTAGGAATGAATATTTTTTCAATGAATTTTTTTAATAAATATTTTTTAAATTTCAATGACTGAATTTTGAATAATAATTTATTCATTTTGTTTTCATGAACAATGAATGAATAATTTTGTTCTTTATTCATTTTTCACGTAATGCGATAGTAAGGCGAAGTTGCGATTAAACTAGAGGATGAACTGATAATGAATAGATATTTTCTTTCAAAGTTTTAGTAAATCAATAATGAATTAATAATTTTTCCTACTTTTTACATTGAATGAATTTTGAATGAAAAAGTGTTTTTTGAACAGATATACACTTAAGCAAGTCAAGAAAGGAAATCTTACTACAATCCCGTTCGAATTGAAGGATATCTCCCTCATCGATCCCGAACGTGGGTTAATCTTCCCAAAACTAACTTACAGCCCAGTAGTCACCGCTAAAATTAAGAATCTCACCGACAAGTTTAAATCGTACTGGGGTGAACTTTCTCAAAGTGGCGCGCTGGAAATGGGCTACAATTCGGCAGGCTCAAACGAAAAGTTGGATGAGTCCATGCCCATTGACAAATGGTGAGTAATAAACCGGTGTATCGAAAGGTAGCAAAGGGGGTGAAGCGACATGGTCACACGGTCTTGGAACGTCAAAGCTGTATTGATTTCTGAACAAACAGACGGTCGGACATTTCCATAAAGGAATTTCGCTTCGCTTCACCCCTTAATAAAAGCCTATGTTCCTGATATTCGATGCCAAGAAGGCATTCGATTTTGATAACCTGCTTCAATCTATTCTAGGTTGTCGGGACATAACCTCAGTGAACTAATTCCTATATTTAACCCACCCATCACCGCTCAGGGATACGGCGATGTGAAAAATATCGCCGTTTTGTACGCCATGAAACTCATTGTTGCCGAGGACGTCGAGTTGCTGAGCTTAATCGGCGACGACACCGCTTTACAGGTGAAGGAAGGATTCTACACATGACAGTCACACTCGAGTCGAGTAGACGTCATCTTTTTTCTCTCTCACGATTATTTTTTGTTTTTTAAATTTTTTGCAAATTACTTACCACTCCAAGTCATCGAGTTTGTGATATAGGCGTAATTTTGGACCCACAAGAAAGTGGTAGATGATTTTTAACACCTAGACCTTAACTGACCTTTCTGTGCGACTTCTTATTTTGATGTCAACCTACCTCCCCTGATTTATCAAAGTGAACTCTACTTCTTGCCTGGTGCCCAATACTGCCCACTCCAACTCATCCGTATGTTTGGGGCACTCACACACCACAAGTTTTGAGTCGTTTTCGCTGTGTTTCCGGTCACCTCCCACTTCCCTTTTTGGACCGGATTTTAAACAACTGCGCTGTGGGCAGAGCGGTTTAATCTGCCCTTGTACAAAAGCGCTCTGACCGATGGCGCTATATAAATTTCGATCCTTCCCAGGTCAATTGTTCCAGTTTTAATTTTCATTTGTCACTTTTTAATTTTTGAAATTTGTCCAGTAACTGGAACAAGAAATCGTGACGGCGAAACGGATTTTGGAGCACTATCTACTATTAACTTGACCTGCAACATGGGAAAAATGTTGTCTATCGAGGATGCCGTATTGCTCGCCCATCCAACAACCAATTCAATTTTTTTGACTGGTGGAACAGCACAGATACATGCACAGATACGAATGTATCTGTGCATGCCAATTTCTGCAATTACTTATTTTAGACACGCCCCTACTATACGGGATATTCTTGGATTTATGGAGATTATACCGACCCAGCGAATGGGGCTGACATATTCCTTATGCTCAACAAGTTGACCACAACGCTAAGAAAGATACATCCACTTTCCAGAACGCTTTTCACCTCGGTCACCGACTACTTTCCCCACGTGTCTGGGGAATCCATCAGGGACGGTTTTTACCGTGATTTTGACTCAATTCAAGCAGACGGAGGACTTTATTATGCCACGACATTACTAACGTTTGAAACTGTAAATGGTGCGATTGAAATGGGGGAGAAATTTGTGCAAAAATATTTTTGATAAGTTGGTTTGTAAATAAATACCTAGTCGTATACACTCAAGTGTCAATAGCTGATTGCTAAAAAACTACGCTGCAGAATTAAAATCTGATAAGTGCATTAGATTCGCCATGCGATTTACATTATGATTCACTATAGACTTCGTAATTTTTGAACATCTGTATAAATATATAAGAAATTGAAGAGGAGCGGGCGGCGATAGTTTTTCACAAAAAAAATCCAAGAAAAATAGTGAATTTAACATGTGTTGAAAAGGTCAAAGTTGTACTTTAATTTAGCCCAACGGACTATAAAAAGGTTCATGGGGACCGAATCGACAAAGAACAGTCGAAGAAGAATTTTTTGAAAACCTCCAAGGACCACACCCATCATGAAGCCTCCCAAGCCTGGAATCGGAAGAAATTCACGAAATTAAAACGGAAACCGGGCTCACTGCTGGCAGTGTCGATCAAGATTATCCAATGAGTGCTCAAATTGAAGCTTGGGCTTAAGGCTTTAAAATGTGGTACTTGCCACATCCTGATCGTACCCCAAAGGAAAGCCAGATTAAAGAAATGCAGCAGTCACCTCAACCGGTACACTCCAAAAAAGTGAGCAGGATTCTTTTTACAAATGAGGAGATTTTCACATCGGAAAAATCTTTTACCAAGCGAGTTGTCATAATCTACTCAAAATCGGTCAGAGGATTCCCCCGATATAGACAAAAGGTCAGAAAGTCACATTAGCCAGGTTTTTTGATGATTTTGGCAGGTGGGAGATAATTGGGGTAATTTCTCTACATTATGCTGAAAATTGGGGGGAGGTGGGGGAATCAAATTTCTTAAAATATGTTTTTGAGTCCGTGGTACATCCCATAAGTAAGATCCAATTCAATGGAATCGATGGGACCTCTCAGCAGACTCAGCATGAATTTATAGTGGAAAAAATGACCCAAGCGTAACTCAAAAAACAAATTCCGGTCTTTATCTCCAATCAGAAATGTTCATCATCCTTGCTGGATTTGAATGACCGGAATATGAAAAATGGTCAAAGTTAGGGGCAAAGGTGTGTTCTAAGCCCCGTAGAAGTACGGAGGCTCGGAAAAAATTTCTGACCCCGGAATGCCACAAAATGTCCCTGGAATCTGTGCGTAATTCCATAGAGGAGTGGTCGTCTCGTCTTCAGCGTGGCATTGACGCAGGAGGAGGAAATTTTTAAGACTAAAAATTGTTTTTGAATTGAAATTTATCTGGCTTTTCGGTAAAATTAATCAAAAATGGCTAAGTTGAGAATTACAAAAGTAATAAAGCTATATGTCATTGACACTTGAGTGTATACGACTAGGTATTAAAACCTAACATGTCGTTAGACCATTATTTGTTTGTTAGAATTTTTCAAGCGTATTAGTACAGTTAAAAGTTGTTTAAATACATATATATGCTTCGGAACGATTAAATTAAATTGACATACATTTCTGGTAATAACGTAGTACTATTAATAGGGAATGGCCATGTCTCTATATCTAATCTGATAATAATCTGCTACCAAACCTTAGTAAATCTATTTAAAATCTGTAGCATTAAAAAAATGCTGCAGTATTTCTTGACCACAACATACATACATACATATATGGAAATGTATGTAAAAATGCTTTTTCCAGCAATTAAGCAGTTTAATTGTTAGCACAACAATATGCAAATACGAGTCGAGTTTAATTATAAGACTCAAATGTATTTTTAAAAACCAACAAACCGAATTTTTATTGAATTTTATAAAAACGTGCAACAATAAATATTGCTTATACACAGTCGTAAGTGCATCATATATATTGTTTGCAGCATTTTTACTTAAATAAAAACGAGTTGTTAATAATACGTATGGCGGCAAATAACTAGGGTACACTCTTAGAAAGCCAGTATTAAAAGAATACCGTACGGTATTCATACATTTATGACTCTACCAAAGTGGTATTGATTAGTAATACCGTGTAGTAACAGCGCAGTATTTTAGCGTTTTTCATAATCGATATCAAATTTTTATAGACCAATACCAACTTAATACTAAACGGTAGTAATTTCAATACCGAGAAATCAAGAGCTGCCTTACTATATCAGATTTATAACAGTGCATTTATAAAAATTATGTTTCAAGCAATTAAATTCAAATGCATTTTTCCAGGCTTATTAAACAAGTTTTATCAGAAATTGCTAAGATATGCAGCAATGCATACATATTACAATCGTAAATGCATCACATTATTTGCTGCATCTTTAGTTGGGGAAAAACCAGTTGTCCATGCAGTATCTTGCTGCAATAAGTAAAGGGTAGAATCTGATATAAAAATAATTTGTATATCGTCCCCACCTTAGTAATTCGTGATATCCTTTGCCATTGCATTTTTTAAATTTCATCCCGTCCGCAATTTGCAGGGTTTCGTTTTTCCTGGCAAAAACTATTTTCCATAAAGGTGGGTGGGAAAAAGTGGGTAAACGGGAAAAATGGTTTTAACTGGGGAAATGAGGCTGCTCATGAATGTATTTACGGGTAAAGTTAACTTCCCCTATAATCAATGTTTCTGGGATTGGACTTCATTTGCTTTATCTTTATGAATACGTGCACGCGAAATTCGGATAGGGGACTTTTGAATAATTTTGATTGTTTTTCTTATTTATGAATAATTTTGAATGTTACTTATAGTCTGGTTGAACCGTGTTACCCTTTTATATGGAGATTTTTAATTTAATATTTTAAGTTAAATTATGAAATGGCTATTTTAGTGAAGTTGTTTAGGATCGGTGCAAAGCTTCGAAAATTACAGTACTGGGATTTATTACCAAGTGCTTTGTATGTTCGTATCTTTGACTGTGAGTATATTTACATATCTTCCTAAATTACTGAATGATGAATTCCAAGTGAAATCAACTCCTACACAAATACCTTACAATTCAGAAAGCCTATTCCATTTATTCCTATGGAAAAATACATTCGAGATGTCCGCAAGTTTCGTCATACAGATATGTAACTTATGACTCATAAGTTTGCGTATGTAGTTATATATGAACTTACAAGGATTGACGTGAATTACCAAAGGTTTATTTTATCACAGTTATGTAAATTGTTTATTTACACAGTTCTCATAAGAGTACCTGAACCCGATCAGTAAAAGATTCCAAAATATTAAAAAACCAGTTCATGACAATTTCTATAAGAACTTGCATAATTGAAACGCTCTATGCAAAACTATTCTCACTGTTATCAAAGGTACCTATGTATGTAGATAATGTAGTACTGATCTCAATCATCTATCAAATTTACCAAACTCAACAAATTTATGTCGTCAGGAGATTTCGTAAATCTCGCAAACTTATACAATCGCCGTTCTTGATATTGTTTCCATGATTTTTTGTATTTTGTTGCTGGTGAAGGAGAGGATGAGTTTGTGAAACTCAACTAACTCAAGTACCTTCAGTTACCGACTAACAATGCGATGACGCCAGCGGTCTCGCTCCGATTTTGATGAAACCTCGATAATTATGTAGCCCTAGATAAATAATTGAACACATGTTTCGGAATTTTTCATAATGCTCAGTTTAAACAAAGTTATGATGGTATAAGTGGCCAAAAATTCGCATTTTCCTCGTGAAGTTTTTTGTTTTTGAGGGAGAAAAATGCGAATTTTTGGCCACTTATACCATCATAACTTTGTTTAAACTGAGCATTATGAAAAATCCCGAAACATGTGTTCAATTATTTACCTAAGCCTACATACATAATTATCGTGGTTTCATCAAAATCGGAGCGGGACCGCTGGCATCATCGCATTGTAAGTAAGTTTGAGAAAAAAAATCACATTGTTATGCAGTCGAAGTTTTGCGAAGATTAATTATTCTGTGGCACATGTATTTCTGTAAAAATTACCTTATCAGAGCCAGACGTTTACCCAGACATTTAATCTATTCTGATCACGTAAAAGTACCTGAATCTGACCAACAAAACATTTACATATGCAAATATTAACTGGTCAAACTTGAGCCGGTCTATGACACACTTAATAAAAAGTACAGCAGACATAAAAGTGTAAATATAAATATCTTTCCTCCTCAGTGTTTGTGAAAACCTCCAGAAAAACCGATACATGTCCGGAAGACTGCAAAAATATTGCAAATTAAGGTTTCTTGGGGTGGAGACGTGCTTTAACTTGAAATGTGCTGCGTATAATTTAAATATACATACACTTTAATTCTTTTGCATTTTGATTGCTTGGTGGACCTAGTATTCCGCAAAATATGAGCATAATTTAGGTTCTCACACTTAAAAAACTTGTATCAAATTGTTACTGTGTATATATACATACGTGGGTACACTTCGAAAAATTCGGTGCGGTTTGGCCACATACGCACTCAGCCGGATGTAAATTTACCCGGGTTTCCCACCATGCGAGGTGCCCATTCACATGTGTTCAACTTGACGGGAATCGTATTTAACAAGAAGCATTATCATTTAATAGTTACTGTAATAAAAAAGTTACCAGTCGGAAACAGATCACTACCAATATTGTAGGAAATTTGTCCCCATTCAACTTAGGAACCCTGGCTCCCATTTATCTTATGAAAAACTACACTTTCATGTCCTTGCTCTGAGACATTTAATCTTTTCAGATCTTTATTATAAAAGTACCTAAACCTGACCAACACAACATATGCATTTTAGCCACAGTTGAACCGGTTTATGTCATATTTTTTTCTTAAAAATGGCATAAAAGGGCATATAAAAGGAAGAGATCTCTATACTCGGATTATTAGATCTTCCAGTCGAGTATTTTCCATCACCTGGGATCCATAACCAACGTCGCCATTTAGATTTTAAATATTCCCTAGTTACGGCAAAATGGGTGGGGCGAAATTGTTTTTTACCGTCTGCACGTCAGTATTAATTGTTTCACTCGTCGGGAAAACTTTCTCCCTTGAAAACTTGAGTCTGACTAAAGCAGAGAAACAAAAATTGGACCAGGTAAGAATTTCATTTAAGAATTAGAGTAATTCATTTTTAAGAAAATGTTTAAAAATTACCCATTTCGAATTTCAGTTTAAAGACGCCGTTTCCAAAAGTAACTTTCCGGCTGAGTGGATGCAACAGGAATTGACTCTGGTTCGCTATCTGAGAGGTTAGGCCAATTCTAAAAGAGTAAATGAAACATGCTTTGCCGAGTCCGGGCCAGTTTTAATTGAACGACTAACAAAATATTTTGTTCCCCTATTTCGCTGCAAACCCCTACAATACAAAATCCTTCTTTATTTAGCATCAACTTGTTTAAGTGTTTGAAATTTATTTCTCAAATTTTCAAGATTTCAATCGAATTTTTTTATCTTAGAAAATGATTCCTAATTTGTCATTGTTTAAGGACGTGCAGAATTTAAATTCGATATGATAAGTTCTACCAGACTTATCGAAAAGGTAGTTGTACAGACACACAGACATGATTATATTTGGTATGCGGGCGAGGCTTAAATTTTCGCTTCTATACATAGTTTCCTTGATTAGGTGTACATATGTACATACATATTTATAATAATACTAGCGTATAAGCCCGCCTCCCGCCGGGCGACGGGCTTATTTGGTTTTCGTGAAAATTAAGTGGTACTATTCATAATTCAACAGACATATTTTAGTATTGTATCTATGTATATTATTAACTTGAAATTTCGGTTGGGAACGGAAGTGAAACTTTCCCCACTTTGTCTTCCGTCACGGAAAATTACTTTCACTTCCGTTGCAGACAAACATTTCCAGCTTATAATATAGAAGATTAGTTACAAATGCAAATCCCATTTATATTTCAGCTCGAGAATGGGACGTTCGGCGAGCCAAGAGTATGCTGCTAGAGGTACGTACTTACATACCTAATTATACACATGGCCAGTGCGAAATTGGCTTACGCTGAATCTGTAAATTCGCAAATGCGTTTCTGAAGACGGTCACCTGGTGGGAGGAGAATAACATGAAAGATATTCACAACGAGGACTGGGCAAGTATTGAGAAAGACTATCCCCTCCACACGGATGGCGTCGATAAGCTGGGACAACCAGGTGAGCAAAATTTTTAGCTTTTTCACAAAAAAATGTTGTCCATGGTGCTAATTATTGCCAACATGAAGTGTAAACCATACTACTAATTTTCAAATTTTTACTACCTAAATTAGTAATGGGAAACAATTTTTTGAAATATTTGATTGAATGAATTTTTTTTTAAAGAAAAGATTTTTTGCACCCTAAATTAAAATGTTCACACCCACGATTTGATTTTTAGTAATCGTCCTTACTTTTTCGGAGTGGGATCTCCGTCAGGCAGCAGTACAGGGCGGGATGAACCGAGTAATCCGCTGGTTCATTAAAGGCTTTGATGACGTTCACCTGAAATCTTTCGAATATCACAAACTCGGCAAGACGAACGGAACCCAGTGGAACGTTATCAGCAATATGGACAAGCTCTCTCGCCAGCAGCACCTCTGCATCCAATGTCTCCGATTTTACACCGAACTCGCTCTTACATTTGAGTCTCGCTACCCTGGAGCGATTGACAAGATTTACGTTGTGAATGGTGAGTCAGTTATTACCGGAGGTCACTAAGAATATGTTAGTTGGACTACCCTTAACAAATTCATGGCCACAATGGTAATAACTATCCCGAATACGAAATTGTTATTACGCTGCATCACTTATCAATACCGAGTCATGATATGGCTCGGTATTATTTGAATACTGAATTTTTAGGAGTGTACATGCATAGTTCCATAATGTCTTGTTAAAAAAAATTTCAGCCCCTTCAATATTCCAAGTCATTCTCGGCCTGGTAAATCCCATTCTGTCGAAAAGTACTCTGAATGCTATGCAAGTGCTCGGAACGAACAAGGAGGAATGGGGCCGATCCATCTACTCTCATTTTTCAAAAGATCAACTTCCAGAAAGCTTGGGAGGGACTAGAAGCTATTCAACGGCGTGGAACGAAATATCATGAACTTTGTTTATTTACGTATCAAAGCGTATAAAATAACAGTTTCATTACTAATTTACAAATATGTTGAAATAAATTAGGCATATAAATTGTTTACGAAATGAGGTAAAAATTTAGAAACAGAGCAATAAAATAAATCAGATATTTAATTAATTAGTTATCGTATGATGTGCACTAAACTTTTAATAACTTTGTGATACGATTGTTATCTCGGGTGGTACTATGAAATTCTCCCGCGTGGAAATATATACTTCTAAATCCAGCGTAGGATTTGGCTCATTTAGTAAAAGTTAGGGTTTGCATTAAATTTATAGCTCGGTATTCGCGTTTTAACGCATCGTCAGCAAAGTGTTACTTCATTTTTCCGGTCGACATCTCCTCCATGTTTAAAAAAGTTCTACACAATCATGTAGTAAAGGTTTTGCATTTTATATAGTTTCAATAATTTGGCAATACTATTGTTACCGACGGATGTACTATGCAATTCTACCGATTGGTAACACTGAGGTAATAAATCGTCGAGTGGCTGAGCTTAATCGGCTATGACACTGCTCTCCAGAAAGTATTTTGACCAGGTAATATTTGCATAAAATTTAGTTGCTTATTTGTTGAATCCGTACATAATTAATTAATATATTTTTTGTAATTGGTCGGTCAACTGCAACCAATCGGGAGTCTATAACTCACGAATGTGGTCACTGGTTGCATTTCAAAAAATCTCGATAGTACAACAGAATCTCTCCAAATAAGTAAATATGTGGCAAACTTGTTTTAACGGTATGTAAGGATAAATCAAGAACCCCTGATATTTTGACCAATCTAAATGAAAGTTAATTATTTTAAACTTTAATTAATTTCAGTCAGTGTCCTATGTCGTGACTGGAAACTAATCACAACTTCAATTGCTGGTGCAATTCTACAATGGCGAGGAACAAAGGTTTTACATATATAAATACATATAAAATATTCATTGTCTGTGAAATTATTTGAATAAAACAATAAATTGTGAAAAATGTGACATTTTTGTATGAAGTACCGAAATTATTTTTATTTATCAATCACCAGACAGTGAATAGACGAGCTAATTATGGTGGTGGCATATCACCACGCGGTGATAAAAAATGTACATCCTTCTACCACTACGATGGTGATGGCACTTTCTATCACAGCGTGGTGGTTGGTGACCACCATTGCGGTAGAGTCACATATAGTCACCGCTCGGTGATAATCCGGTGGTAAAATTTCTTAGAGTGCATGAATATATATAAATTTCGTAAAATTGGTGTATAATTGTCTATAACAAATATGGAAGTAAACCATAAGCATTTAATCAATATTAAAGTTAATAAAAATGCAAATATTAATTAACCGTTGTGACGTTAGAAGTATATAGCTCGCCATGTAATAGCGGTATCGATTTAACTTTGCACCAAAGGTGCCCAATAAGCGCACAAAATACAAATGTATAAAATTTATATAATTTTGCACCAATGGTGCAGGAGCATTAGAAAGAATCTATATTATAAGCTGGAAATGTTTGTCTGCAACGGAAGTGAAAGTTATTTTTGTGCGACAGAAGTAAAAATGGACACAATTTCACTTCCCTCGCCAACAGACATTTACAGCTAATATATAATAAAAATAATTCGCTGGAAGTATGAACAATCCGACTTAATTTTCACCAAAATCTAATAAGCTCTCGCCCGGCGGGAGACGGGCTTATACTCTAGTAGGTATATAAAATCATGCAAATACATCAAAAAATTGCATGGATTCATGGTCTTGCTAGTTTACTGTGATATGTAAATATTTGCAGACTACAAATTATATACATAATTCACAAATACCTTACAGTTCACAAACACTGAAATTTTATCTTATTGATTGTCAAGGGTTTGTTTTACGTAATTTGTTTAGTCTCAACCAAAGTACCTGAACCTGACCAATTCAACAATCTTGTTACGTAAATAAGTTTATATAACTTAATGAGTTCATGACACATTCTATAAAAAATGCAACCTAAGGATTTAAATGAGAGATATGTACATACATATGTAGCTTGTAAAGATACAAATGTATGTATTTGTGTACACTTGTGAAAAACTTTTTAAAAATCGGACCAGGCAAATTATTTACAAGAATATGGCAGGAAAAGCTTATACATAAATTAAAATTATCCTAGTGTATTTAGCCAGTGTAAAAGTTTATATTGTTGTAGCCTGGAAATGTAAGGTACATACATAAATATGTTGTTTATACAAGTATGAATTACGTTGCATTTACATTTACGTATATGTATACAAAGGTATTGATTTGTGTATTTTATCTGCATACCTTTAGATGCTTAATTAATTATCTGGCTTTTTCGTAAAGCACCTACGGTCTGTATTTAGCGTATATATATGTATATCTTTGGATGTTCGTCAAATACTTCTCATAGTTCCGTATTAAGCAATCTATGCAAAGTCCAAAGTGAACTCTACAAATTGTCAAATTAAGGCTAGTCTGAATCTATGTAAATACGATTATTAATTACGTAACGTAACATAAAATTCAGAGGGAATTCAATTTTCAAAAGGGTGACGTTATTTTTTAGAGGGTCAATCATCTATTCTTTCACATATGCAGATAGGAATTTGAGTATATGTGTGTAAATACTAGACATTTACACCAAGACCCTATTAATCTGTACGAATTCTAATAAAAGTACCTGAACCTGATCAGCACAGCATATACATAAATATAATTATATATACAGTCAGGAGCAAAACGATAGGCGATATGGTTTTTCTCGCCTAATTGTCACACCAGTGTACCAAATGATTTGAAACTTCACACAAATATGTGTAATAGCATTACTTGCTTATAACATACGCATGACATACCGGCTTCATCGGGAAAATTATTTAGCTGGAAAAACCTGAAAAATAGGTGGTGCAAAACGATAGGCGATCGTCGATATTTTAAAATTAAAAATCTGTATTTATTTTGCTCAGCAATATTTGATGTTTCCAGTGACTTTAACTTGTTCGAGGGTCCTCAGGCTTTGAAATAAATTCATTAACTGGGGGGTACAAGGGACCCACGAGCTATGGAAGCGCCTTATTCCCCACTTTTGCCCACGTGTTAAAAATTGCATGTTAAAGCTAAGTGACGCTATCGTACTCCTTTGAAATGTGGTACGCATCGCATATTGATATACCCCAATGGTTTTTGACCGGATTTCAGACGGGAATATTGCCTGGTCAATCCAGAAGACGGATTTTTCTTTGGAAAATGTAAGTTTTTGTAAGGCTCGACGTACGAAATAGTGTATTACCTAGCTGACAAATTTAATTTCGCCCTATAATTTGGACTACCGTCTTCCCTAGAAGTATTAGGACTAGATTGGCACATTAATAAGGAGCCACTGTGCTTTTCATACCCAGAATATTGCCCTTACCCTTAAATCATTCGCTACCCAAATCGTGACCCATCCACCAACGTCCTCCCGGTACAGATATCTTACCAGTTGCGCTGGAATAGTCCAACCTGTATGCTATCTGGACGGTACGAAGGTTTCCACACCAACTGGTACGATATCTACACTGGGAGCTCGGTGCTGGACGGGTCATGATTTGGACAGCGATAGATTTAAGGGTAAGGGCGATATTCTGGGTATGAAAAGCACAGTGGCTCCTTATTAATGTGTCAATCTAGTCCTAATACTTCCAGGGAAGGCGGTAGTCCAAATTATAGGGCGAAATTAAATTTGTCAGCAAGGTAATACACGATTTCGTACGTCGAGCCTTACAAAAACTTACATTTTCCAAAGAAAAATCCGTCTTCTGGATTGACCAGGCAATATTCCCGTCTGAAATCCGGTCAAAAACCATTGGGGCATATCAATGTGCGATGCGTACCACATTTCAAAGCAGTGCGATAGGGTCACTTAGCTTTAACTTGCAATTTTTAACACGTGGGCAAAAGTGGGGAATAAGGCGCTTCCATAGCTCGTGGGTCCCTTGTACCCCCCTGTTAATGAATTTATCTCAAAGCCTGAGGACCCTCGAACAAGTTAAAGTCACTGGAAACATCAAATATTGCTGAGCAAAATAAATACAGATTTTTAGTTTTAAAATATCGACGATCGCCTATCGTTTTGCACCACCTATTTTTCATGTTTTTCCAGCTAAGTAATTTTCCCGATGAAGCTGGTATGTCATGCGTATGTTATAAGCAAGTAATGCTATTACACATATTTGTGTGAAGTTTCAAATCATTTGGTACACTGGTGTGACAATTAGGCGAGAAAAACCATATCGCCTATCGTTTTGCTCCTGACTGTATGTGCATAGTGAGCTTGAGCCAGCTTAAATAAGACACATTTTATGTAGGTAAAGTGCAGCAGAAAGATCATTCGTAAAGTCACTGTCTGTCCTCCATCTTGGTGTAAATCTGCAGAAAAAATACCTCATAAACTTATCGCTGCATAGCAGCCAAACGCTTGCTAATTACGATTTCTTAGGGTGCAGAAATCTTCACATTTGCAAATTGGAGATGCATGTAAGACGCATAATTTACATTGTTGTTTAACTTGCGTTACATTTTGATTACGTCACACTCTTAATAAAATGGTATTAATCCATTACTGAGCGGAGTACATACTTATGTATGAATACACGTGGAGTACATACCACAAAGATTTTTCACTGTGTATGTACATGAAACTTAGGAACCCTGGCTGTAATTTGTCTTTATGGAAAATTACTACCAAAATTTGTACTTGTTTTGACACATCTAATCTTTTAAGATCTTTGTTATAAAAGTACCTAAACCTGACCCAACACAACATGCCAACGATCTAATTAGAATTGAACCGGTTTATATTTTTTATAAAAATGCAAGGATGTATAAAAGCAATGGATTTTCCCCTTCGACGGATTATTGAGTTTTACAGTCGGATATTTTCCAGCGCCAGGAATCCAAGCAAACAGCCTAGTTTAGATTTTGAACATATTTACACACTTAAAAATAGTGTGGTACAAAAATGTGTGGTCCGAAGTTATGGTTTACCGTCTGCTCGACAGTATCAATTGCTTTCCTCGTAGGGAAGGCTTTCTCCCTTGAAAACTTGAGTCTGACTCAAGCGGAGAAAAATAAATTGGACCAGGTACGAATTCCACTCCAGAATTATCCGTAATCCGTTTTAAAAATGTTACCGAATTTGACAGGAATTTTAGTTGAAAGAAGCTGTTTCCAAAATTAAGTTTCCCGTGGAGTGGATGCAGCAGGAATTAACTTTCGTTCGGTATTTAAGAGGTTAAGCTAACTCTAAGAACGTTAATGACTACGGTAATCACTACGGCTTTTGAGACTCAGAAGGACTTCTAGTACTGGACGTCGTGGCTCCAAAAACCGCCAACCCTGGTGCGTATTCCACCACAATTTTGAATTTTTAACCCAAGCCATTGTAGAGAAAATACTAGAACAAAAATCGGCATTTATAAAACCACCCCCACCCCCTTCCCCATCCACCCCCACCCCCATCCATTTTTTTACATCGAATGAGGTGGTTCGAGGGGCTAGTGTCCAAGAACTACGGGACGGGGGGGGGAGGTCAAGGAGCACCTTATATGTTTCTTAAAAATTGGTTTTCAATATTAATTACCCTTCCGTTAGAGAGGCAAGTTTTTTAAAGTCTGCTAGAACCAAGGTGTGCAATGTATCCTCCAAGTAGTATTTAATGAGATTCTCTCTTGTGTCCGCATCCGGCAGTGTGATATGTATTTTCTTCTCCAATCTCCGCAGTAGAGCTTTGTCTAGCTTTGATGGACAATTAGTTGCCCCTATAACAACCACGCAGGAGCGATCAGATACGACATTCATTTCCTGCAACAACTCAGTGAGGGTCCCGTCACTTGCTCTGCTCTCTGATCCATGCCGGGCGCCTCCCACACTGTCAATCTCATCAATGAAGATGATACTGAGAGGATGTTCTCTGGCCTTGCTGAAAATATTCTTAATAAAATTTTCAGACCGGCCATACCACTCCGATTTTATATCGGATCCCCGAATGTTGAAAAACTGTGCCCCAGACAGTGAAGCAGCCTTTTCCACTAGTAAAGTCTTCCCCACGCCTGGAACTCCAAATAGTTATATTCCTCTGTAGGGTTTTCGAATTCTTGATTCAAACAGCCATGGATGCTTCAGTGGCCAGACAACTGCTTGTTCTAATTCCTTCTTTGCTGCTAAATTTCCGATGCAGTTTTCCCAAGACAAGGGTTTCTCCACTTCTTTTCCTGTAGAAGTTCCTCCTTCGTCGTATTCTTGATCATTTGCGCAGGAAATATTGGAGGCCTGATCGCTGCAATTGGTGATTGGCGACGTACACGAACCGGAAGGTGTACTATTACCAAGCAGAATTACGCCATCCAGGCCCTAAACTGAGGGTGGGCAAGCAGGGCAATTGCCCGGGGCGCCAAGTGGTCAGGGGGCGCCGGCAGGCGCCCACACAAGCACTAGATATAATGGGTTATTTCGGATTATGCAAACACAAATTTTGAAAGGAAAGTTAGTGCAGAATTTGTTGAAATTATTTTTAAATTGCAAGTTGTTCGAGGACGCAAAAGCTCCTGATAAGTTACAAAGTTTGATTTCTTCATTGTGGAGAAGTACAATGAATGGGATTGTCTATGGTCTCTAATAACCCCATAGCCATTTCAATCAAATTCTCGATTTTAAATATACACTGTGGCCTTTGAACTGGTAATTGTTGCGTCCCAGAGCAGGTATAATATTTTTGATATGTGACTGAAGCCTTTCACAGTGTGGAACGCTTTGGGGGCAATTTGAGGGCCTATTCAAAATTTCGAAATTTAGCAAGCAGACACACGTTGGAGTTATAATCAAACTTTCCTAAATGTTTTGAGTGTTTGTAATTTGCGCAATTATTTGCCAACTTGTGCACAGAGGTCGACGCCGTACATACACACCGCCGGTACTAAATATTTTAGGCGCCGACCCTTCTAGGTACAATTCTCGTTACGCCGCCGATTCTAATTCGGGCTGAACATTTAGATTTTGGTCTAATTGAAATTTAAAAAAATTCAACGTTTAAAAATATTTTCAGCCCCAAAGTAGACGTTGCATTTGACAATCTCTTACTTATGTATGAACTATGAATATGTATGCATGGATACGATCAAAATATGTAGACATGAAAAATGTTTCTCCGATTTTGACCTGGATGGATTTTAAATTGTTGTTTTTGAAAATAAGCATTTTGGCGTTACCTTAATTGCGCCTCTATGTACCTTTGAAGAAATTGATATATACTTTTTTGATCGCGACTTTTCACCTAAGGCGCCGTCCATAAATTACGTAACGCTGGCTGGCATGAGCAGGATATGGAAAAAATCTTATCTTGCCCATGCTAGCCAGCCTTACGTAATTTATGGACGGCGCCTAAATGATTGTACCGGAAACTTGAAACTTTGGAATTATGTATTTTCAACCTTTAAAACTTTCTGATTGAAATATTTTTTAACTGTGCCAAGACATTTGCAGCTTTACAGCAAAGATGAGTTGAAATTTGATTTAACGTTTTTGTCACGGATTTATGCAAAAAATAGAATACCGTAAGACCTCTATTTATAGCCGGGGCTAAAATCTAAAACTGAGGGTCACGTACCCGGCTAAAATTAGAGACCGGCTATAATTAGAGACCCGGCTAAATTTTATTGCTCCAAAAATTTTAGATGTTACAAAATCAAATATAATTCATGTTGACTCAATTCGAGTTTTCTAATTTTAGCAAGATAAGCCATAAGTAACCCATTCTCTTTTAATCTACATCTTGAAACGAAGTTTATCAGGTTTTTTAAATTTTCTGTCATGATTAAATCCATTATTAACCTGAAATTAATACGAAAAAATTAGTAGTTCAACTTATTCGTTGATTGGCATAATGTGCAACATTTTTCTTTAATGGACTACGAACAGGGACACAGCGGACAAGACAGGTCATAATTAGAGACCCGGCCATAATTGGTGACCCCGCTATAATTAGAGACCCGGCTAAAATTTGGAAATCTTGGTCTCTAGACCCGGCTATATTTGGAGACCGGCTATAATTAGAAGAGGGCTATAAATAGAGGTTTTACGGTATATTAAAAGGAGTACAAACTACTCAATATATGTTTTAATTTTCACTTCAAAAGTGCTGTCCATGTTTGATGCTTGACGTAGTCGCTGATCACTGTGAGCTTATCATAGTTTCCTACCTTTTTAGCCGGAGACACGGACAAGTACACAAGTTGATTCAAGCCCCCAGCCGATAGTGACATCGACGTCGACCTCTGTATGGGCAACTAGCTATAGGTTCTATTATAATATTAACTGACTGTAGTTAGGAAGGACGAAAATTCGCGAGCAGCTGGGGGCGCCAGCAAAGTTTGCCCACCCTTGGATATGGACCAGTTTAGGCACTGACGCCATCCTATAATTAAGTTTTTATTTAGCAGTGATAAATATCTTAAGAGATGGGAGGTATAGAACCATATTGTATAGAAATATATCTTAATTTACCTCGGATGTGTCAGAAGCACTTGCATTGGTCATTTTCTCATGGATAAGTTCGCGCACATGATTAAGTAGCACCGATATGCACTTCTCATACATTTCGAGTGCTACAGCAGGCTCATCTTTTGCTAATTGTCTGGCTTCTTCTATTATCGAAGATGCAGATGCCGAGGGTAATAAATAATCATATTTACATGCAAAGCCATATCTCAAAATGCATGAATTAGTTTTGAAATACATAAATAAACATGCAGCACTTTGCATATTTATCTATACATATATACTGTTGGTACTTAAGTGAATATTAATTTTTTGCAAAAAATAAAAAAGGGCATTGCCGTAAGAATTCATGCATTGAACCACAAAGTTATAACATATTGAACCTTACCTCAATTTCTTTCCAATCTTCTTCAGATGTAGAATCCATGTTTACTTTGTTGGTGATGCTGACTTTAATTCAATTTTTATTCGCACAAATAAATATGTTTACTTAAACTTTAATCACGAGTGAAAATACTCTGTTTCGAAAGACGACTAAATCTACCCGATCTAGACTCTGACTCGTAAATACACGAAAACTTGTCTCAAGGAAAAGTCAGATTCACTCCCAGAACTATTTATTGACCACGCAAAATTAATCAGTTTCACAAAGTCTGATTTTTCTGACAATCTCTCACACTTCACAATTAATTCCTGATTCATCCAAAACGCTATTGAGTTTCTAGTCTATCATTTTACATACAACGCCATAGAAATGTCTGCCAATTATTTTACAATTAAAATTATCTATGTGTACATACGCCATAATTTAACACTCTGTGTAAGTAATAATTCGTAGTAGACTTTCTCGATGAAATTCAAGGCAATTGTCTATACCCACGATTAATCTGTGTCATATTTTTGTGACTTCATTTTGCAATACTTGTGCTTGGAACCTAATGTGTTACATAAGATAGGATATACTTCATATGCATTATCTGCAACGGAATGCATGCCACTTTGACTTATTGAAATTATGAATAAGAACAAAATATATTTACATTTAACTAGATGTGCAAACTTTTCATTAATGTTGGACTAGAACTACGTGGAGTAGAATGCATATGAAATTTTTGCATGCAAGAATAATTTGTGGCAGGCCAATAATTTTGCTCCGTAAGTGTAATGTATACAACAACAAATGAATGTAGCACATATGGATACAAGTCTGTGTCCGGTCGTTTTACAATTCGTTTCGATTATATTTATAATTGAAGCATTAGTGCATATTTAGGGGTACATTTCATGCATTTAATAAATTTTAGTTCAGGCAGGCCCCGAAATTGGGGAGGGCAACCGGGGCAATTGCCCAGGGCGCCAAATTCTGATGGCGCCGAAAGGCGCCCTCGGAATTTCAGTAGGTTTCTTGTTGTTCACAAATTTATCAAAAAATATAAAACGCAATTTGCGAGCAATGACGTTGCTACACAACAGTAAACAAACCATAGAGATACTCAAATATGGCAAACATCGAATTGGGATGGTCGCTGAGCCTCAGGAACAGTGTTTCTGCTGTTAAATAACATCGGCACGAAAATAGTGCACGAAAATGTTTTTAAACGTTTAATAACACCCGCTAAAAATACGAAAAACAGCATGAAAATGCACGAAAATAATTTGCATACAAATAATATTGGAACAATACAATTTTTTCTAAATGTTCGATTAATTGAGGAATCGACATGCTATTTAAGATATTTTACTCATCATATTAGTGTGTTAGTGTAAAAATAATAAAATATTTTGCATTTTTCAATACGAAAAATGAATGAAAGTTTTGAAAACGAAAATGAATGAACATGACGATTTTTATGAACGGCTTAATACGTAGTATTGTATAACAAAACAAATAATACTTGTAGTTTGTTTGAAATTTTCTTGCCGAATAATAATTCCATGTTATTCGATATGTGTACAAATTCCAATTTGACAAGGTAGGAAAATATAAAATTTCTTAAAAATATGAAATTCCTAGCATAAGTTGTATTTCATGCATTATTATGCATTTTTATGCATTTTCGTGCATTTTTGTGCGTTTTTATGCATTTTTATGCATTTTTGTGCACTATGCATCCATAAAAATAATTTCGTGCGCACAACAAGAAACACTACCAACTTAAAGTTGAACTTTAGATTAGTTTAGGCTAGTTTTAAGGTTAGTTTTTAAAGTTCAACCAACTTACAGAACGCAAATAGTTGAAGGACAGGGCGCTGAATGCCGATCTGGGACCAAGATGTATTGTTCATTTTTTTAATTTTTGTTTCTTCTTAATTTTAAAGATAATTATGGCATAAAAATAACTCAGTATGCTAGAATTGAAAAAATACCTTCAATAACTTTCGTGGATCAATACTTAAAATTTCGCCATGTCAACCTTAAGGGGTCATTATCTCAAAACCGGCTGATGTCTGAAGACAATCAATTTAAGAAATGATGGTACTTGCATTATGTTGCTAAAATATCCAGCATTATTGCAACCAGCTCCAAAAAAATCCGACATCGTAAAAATTTTTACTCTCAATTGTTTCGTGTATAGCTTTGAGCTCGAGTAATTTTTTTAAATGTAATTTTATAGGTAAGTCTATCATACTAAGTTATTTTTTTATCATCTTCAAAATTAAAAAATAAAAGCCCTCGGCCCCATATGGGTATCCTGCGCCCTGTCGTTCAGTGCAGTCCCTGGACGGTTAAAATTTTACGTTAATGTCTCAGGTTGAGAATCCTTATATCTTTTAAATACACCAAATTGAAGAAATATAAGATTTTACCAAATGTGATCCCTAGGTAACATGTTTTTGGGTATTTTCTAATAAAAATTCTCAAGCCGTTAATTCGAATCGAACGTTTGTGCGATTAAAATATCGAAAACATGTTAGCGCAGAATATTAATCTAAATATGTATTGTATCAGTAAATTTAAATTTGAAAACTTGTCAGTTTTAAACCATTTATATCAATGATATTGCCCCAAATTTAGAAATTATAAACATGCGTTTTCCAACTCAATAGCAGTTCTAGACAAGTAAATAAAAGAATATGTGTCAAAATTCGAAACGTGACACTATACCAGAATGTATTCGGATCGATGTTTTCAAAAATCCAATCCGATCCAATCCGCCTTGGTCGGATCCTAAAAAATCCTACCCAATCCGAGCCTGTCGGATTCGGATTGGATTAATCCGATTAAATCCGATATCCTACTGCTCTCTATAGTGTAGTCAGATTGATGTTTTTTGAAATCCAATCCGATCCGATCCGACTTGGTCGGGTTATAAAAAAATCCAATCGGATCCGATCCGACTTTATTGGGTCAGAAAAAAATCCAATCCGATCCGACCCTGTCGGATTCGGATTGGATTGGATTAATCCGGTTAAGTCGGATATCCGACTATTCTCTGCACTAGACTAAAACAAACAAACTTGACCGGAAAAGCAATTACTGCTAGCTCCCCAAAAAGGCACCCCCGTTTTTATAATTATAGCAATGTACAAATCGTTTTAAAAAACTAACTCTGCATTAGCGTGGAAAACTTAAATCGCTTTAAAGAAGTGTTGGCGAAAAATGCATTCGAAGTAGATACCACGCGACAAATTCCACCATAGGGGCGCCGACGCGATCTTGCCCCGGGAGCAAATTTCCAAGATCGGGCGCTGAGTACAGGATATAATTGCATTTGAATTGAGAAGTAGAAACAGTACTATTCGTAATCGCTGAAGATACAGGCTAGTTATTCAAGCTACAAGCTTTTTTCATGAAATTCTGAAAACCGTGGAAGGAATAAAGTTAACGCAAGTCTTGGTTGATAGTGGTCTTATCCATAGAACTGAAAATGAGTGAAAATATATTTGCGTTTTCAAAAAAAACCTCGTCTGCGAGAAATAGAGTGGTCGCCCCGGGAAGTGTTGATGTGGAATTTTTCCATAAAAATGGTCAAAAAATGTATCCAAAAATACCAAAATTTGGAATAATATTCGGAATATATCTGTGGTGAGGTATCCGCAAACATAAACTGCTTAGGTTCATTGTCCATCCCATATTTAACGTTTTTCATCACGCCCGCCATTACGGCTTTTTCGGAAGACTTTGGAACTTCATTGATAATTTTCTGCCATTGTAACCAAAAGTTTCTTGATTTGTCGGCTGTTCTCAAAGCTGGGAGTATTACTTCTTACACATAGCCCACATTTTTTTATTGAGCGAAGATGAGGGATGTTTGTGGGGTTTCCATTTTTCGACGCCAAACTGATTTTTTTTCGATTTCTTCCTTCATAGTTGTTGGATTGTGGATTAGGCCAAGGTCGGTCCAAAAAATTACATTTTATATTTTTTGATACTCATGATGAAAGAAATCAGACGGTCCATCACACATTTCAGAAAACAAACTTGTGCGTCCCCACAACCCTTCTGAAATGATGGGTCCGAAACATGCCCAAATTTACGGAACGCCAGCCAAACCTGAGATTTTTTGAGAAATTTGGAAAAACATTTTAATTTCTCTTCGGTTCTCAGTTGAGAGATACATTTGCCATTCTTCCCGGAGTTTCTGTCACGTTTTTCAAAGGCGTAGGACTCGTCGGGAATGGGCAACTTTTTTGGTGGACTTTTGTTGTAAGGCTTGGGAGGGCTTGCGTTCACCATTTTTTCTTGACCATCCGTATGCTTTGCTGCAGATTTCTTTGAATACGCTTTGACCCACAACTCATGAGCCTTCACATGATGCGCATAGTCTGGATTAATCTTCGACTTCATGGTCGCATTAGGCACAAACGTGGAGCGGTACTTTCCAAAAACAAATTTAATCGTTTTTCATGTTCAAGGGGTCAATATGATGGTTTTTTCTTGTGGTACGTATTTGAAGTTGATATTTTCGGATTCGCCATACTTTTTTATGTATGTCCTGATTTTTGCACGGCCACACCTCTCTCCGGTGAAAGTTAGTCAAGCCTTCTTCGAGTCTTTGTCGCTCAGATTTCGGTACTTATAAAAAACTCCGTTCCCGACTTTCTCGCTTTGAAGTATCGTACCAAATTTGTTTTTCAAGGAAATCTTATGAAATTTTGGGGGTACGGGGTTGAGTATATTTGCAATATTATAGGAAAAGGTCGAGGAAGAAAGCTCCATATCTCCTACATGGTCAGATAGGGTCCATCGAAGTAGTCAGAAGCAGTCGTCAAAAACTCTTGAACCAGGGGGGAGCCAGAGAAAACACAACATCTCTAAAAATTTATCCCAAAGCCTTCAAAATATTTCGCGTAAATCTGGAAATGCAAGACATCAAAAACTTGCAGAGAATGAAGGAGAGAAAAATCAGAAGAAGGAAAAACTTGGACGAACGAAATCACTCTTCACAATTCATGAGGATTCAAAATATAAGGGAAAATCCAGTACTAGTTCGATGAACCCAAGAACTAAATCAGCAAAAAATATATCACAACTTAATGAGAAATCCGAAAGTCTTAAGTCAAACACTCGATTTACTAGGGACATAGGAAGTAGCGATGCACAATCACACTCAAGTATTGAGACACATACGAAAGGTTCCACTTCCGATCGTTCTTCTGATCAGATAAATCAATTAAAGAAGATAGTTCTCCTTCTGGATCTGGGTCTGACGAACACGTTGTCAATCCGCCCACTGCTTTCCAAGCCAAGTCAAAGTTATATTGTACAACTACCAAGGATGCAACATTGTTCAGAAAAATACTTGAAAAAGTTAACAAATCCAAAGTTTCAACTGTGGCAGCCCCCAATCCTGCAAATGAAGAGGTAAATAATTCAGATATTAACAATTAGATGTTAGTAGAATTTCCAAATTTAATTTTAGGGTTATGGGGCGAAATTTACAAATTGAAATTATTAAAATCATTGTTGGCAACTGTATTTGCTACACAAATGATCAAGAGTTGACCCAAATATGCAGAAATAAAATCGCCAAGAAATTGAATTTATATGCGTCAGAAGAAAAAATTAGGATCTTTGGTTTTAGATTTTTCTCGAAATTGTGATTAGATGCAGCTACAAATCGGGTTTACCTTTTCTCTAGGTGTACGTGTACCAGGTCGATAAAACTGGGGCGATGTATTGGCGTGCCGATGGAAAGAGTTGGAAGAGTATCCGTTCCAAAAATGTAGGCAAGTTAAAGCTTCGGCTATTCCAACTTCTTTCCAATGGATCCAGTGTTCAGTTTTTCAGAAGTGAATATACAGTCGATGAGAATCCTGGCTATGTCCTTGGATTTTACAATGGCGACTTTAGGTACAAGTCTGTGCCAGCAGCACATGGGAATACAAACGCCCTGGATGTTATGCAGGTGACAGGGCAAGGCGATTACTTCATGGAGATTCTAGTCCAGGCAAGACTCCAGTGAAGGCGTTTATAAGTAAAGGTAATGTAGTTAATCACTTTCTCTCCTGAGTCACGCACATTTTCATTATTGCTAAATTTTTAGACCCGGAAACCCCTCAGTCACAAGGCAAGGGAAAGGATGTACAGGATGACGATGACGATTATGAGGATGTAGATGATGGTAGTTACAAATGAAATTTTGCACGAGGTTTTGTTTACTTTTAAATTATATTTGTTTTGATATCTTGTAATAGATCGAACTGGATTTCCATTTGTTACATCACATAAAAGTGTTAAGAAAAATCTTTCAGAGACGCTGCAGTCGACAACCATGAAACCAACCGCTGTATACAGGTGTACTTTGCAGATATGATAATACCTTTTAAAAAATCTGTAACGTCCATATGACTTATCACTTTGCAGACAAGCGACAATGGCAACTTTTGACGACATAAGTCCATCCTCACAACCCAGGAACATTCGACAAGTCTACAACATTGCATCAGAGATCAAAAGAAAAACGTCAGTTAGGGATGACATGTACGAATTATTTTGCATGACACGAGAATACGAGAAATTTGTTTTAAATTTTCAACTCGCAAGCAAAGTAAACGTAGTTGTGGCGCATCCCGCTATGGTGGCTCACACCAATGACCTGTTAGAAATTTTTTCAACAAAAAACGAGTATGTTGTATTTCACTACGACACAACTTATGGAGTGGGTGGATTCTACTTAAGTTTAATGTCAATGAGATATCCATTATTAGAAGGGAACCCAATAATAGTTATTGGATCATGCATGCATGAAGCTTCTGACACGTCCAGTCACAGCCAAATGTTTCAATCTTTATGTCAAGAACTGCCGTTATTAAATTCTGATACGACAATTATTAGAACTGATCGTGAGGCTGCAATATCCGGGGCAATAAGGCTAAACCCTCCTGATGCACAGAGTAGATATTGCTGGAACCACTTAAGAGATGTAAGTACCTTCATTATGTATTCACATCTATACCAGAAGTAATTTTTAATACAAATTACTTACAAGCTATTTATTATCATGGGTTTTTAATTTATATTAGAATGTGGGGACCTGGGCCCCATTTCACCACACCCTACTCCGCACTCCAGATTCCGCACTCCGCACTTTACAAAATTTGTAGAGTGCAGAGTGGGAGCGTTTCACAGTGGCGACCTACTCCGCAAACTTCCGCTCCATAAAAACGTAGGTTTGCGGAGTGAAAATGCGGAGTTCATTCACTCAAATTTCAGAACTTTTTAATTTTCTCAATGTTATTTCATCCTCTTCTTCTCATGCGACTGACACCTTCATAAATTTATTGTTCTATACCTGTGATCGTCCAATCAAGTGATAATATAGTCAGTTAATTTAATTCCAAAAATACAGGATTGTAGATACATAATGTATTTCAGTTCGTTTATGGCTAATCAAAAATCATAAAGAGAAACACAAAAAACCTACAGACAGTGCAGACTTGACATAGCCCGAGTCATGCCAAGAGTTATCACTCAATCCGACTTTTTTGCATGAAATTTTATCCGAAATGTGTATCAAAAAATTTAAAAATTTAAATTGATTTTTCAAATTTAAATTCATATTCTTCCATGAGTACAAATTAGCAGCCTATGTGACAAATTTCAGCCTGATACTATGATTGTAAAAAATCGGTATGGGTCACCTAATCGAGTCCTCCAGATGAGAATTTTTCCTATTTTGATTCATATTGTTTCATTAGCACCCATTACCAACTTTTCTACCAAATTTCAGCTCGATTGGACGAAGTTGAAAAATTGGTGTGTCACCCCGTAGGGTGCGTCCAGATGAAAATATGACCCATTTCAATTCATACTCTTCTATTAGTTGTCAGTAGAAATCCCCACACCAAATTTCAGCTCGATTGAATGAGTTTTAAAAATCGGTATGAATCACCCCCCTAGGGTCCCTGTAGACTAAAATTTTATTTTATATTCTTTCATTACACACCATTGTCAATCTCTATACCCAATTTCAGCTTTCTACAAAAATTTTGAAATTTTGGTGCATAATACCCCACCCACCCAGATGCCCCCTACCAGTCAACCACTTGACCGATTTCGCCCATCTGCGAACTTGACTCCTCATTTGCTCCTTTTCTACATTTGTGCAAAGTTTCAAGTCGATCGGATTATTCTACTACAGTTATCGCAAGGCAGACAGACGGACATGACGGGTACATAAGCCCTGACTCGGGCTAAAAAGCCAATTGCACCAATTGCAGAGTGTCCGAGCACTTTGCAAAAAAATATGTAAAGTGCAGAGTTTCGAGCGATGACCTTTCGCGGAGTAAAATTTGGTGAAACGGGGGAGGTCTAATTTCACTCCGCACTCCCCAAAATTTGACTCCGCAATCTACACTCCGCACTTCACAAAATATTACTTTTGTGAAACTCTCCACTCCACAAATCCGCAATTTTTTGTGTGGAGTATGGAGTGCGGAGAGCTGGTGAAATAGGGCCCTGGGCTCAAAAACATTTTGGAGTAGAGGCAGCTCACAACTACAGGGCAGATTTTTTCCAACTACTATCTTGTGAAACAGAAGATGAGTACGTGCTAATGCTGGAAGACTTCAGAGAAACTTGGGACCCGCAATTTCAAGATTACTACAATACGTATATAAATACAGATGTGATCAACAGTGGTCGTTGGGCAATTCAAAAATTGGGAATCTATAACCCAGACAGTGGAATTACAAATAACGCTGCAGAATCTGCAAATTTTTCAGTTAAACAAGGCATCAAGTGCCGCATCAACAGCCGATTATATCAAGTTGGATTAAGCGTCTACTATCTCCAAGCGTTTAATCTTATGGAGATTACACGCGGACTGACAGGACATGGTAATTGGAGAGTGACAGACAACTACAAAGATGTGGCACAGAAACTCCAACCCATTTAGAAATTTCAAGACTTAATTGATCCTGTGATAATAAAATCAGTGGTCATCGACGGGAAGATACCGGAAGACGTCTCTCGAGGGAATGCAGAAAAACCAAGACCTGTCCCTACTACAACATTGGGCATAGCTAAAATGCTGGTCATGAAGAGACGCATTGAATTCGCACCAGCATCGGGGACATTTGTTGTCCGTGGATTATTCGGACCGGCACATAATGTGAGTGACTTTGACGATATTATCTTGCGTGTGCATATATTGGCAATTTACCAAAGACATTATTAATTACAGGTACATCTTGGAAATCAAACCTGCACTTGTGCAAGGTGAGACACATGCTCTCATTTGTTAGCTGTCATGTTAAATACAAGTAAGCCTTCATTCAATAATAAATATTTATTTGCCACGTATTCCGTACTTAATTTTATTGTTTAGACACCTACAAACCTGCTCAAATGGGCAAACGGCAGGTCAGGCGGAATATGTCAAATATTTATAATTCCACTAGGGTCAAGAGGGCCGGGAAGAAAGGGTCTGGGCGCGTTCGCGTCGAGCCTAGCCTTGCCCTTTCACGCCAGGGAAAAATTCCAGATTTAACCCCATCCTCTCCTACATCATCAACTGGTTCGCGACCAAATTAACTTCTTAATAACCCTTGAAACAAATATCATACATTTATTAAGGTGGATTAGCTTGCCAAAACTCATCGGATCAGGACGTCGCATCGCCAACACAAGGTATAGTAACGAAACTTTGTCCATTTGCCCATTCCTCCAAACCCATTTTAACATTATCATTTGGCTAATAGCGGAAAGTGCAATCAAAAAGTTACGCTATATTGCACTGGACCTCATTCCACCAATATCGCAAACCAATGTTGAGTCTACAATTCTAAGCAACCCGAAAATCACATTTGGCGACTTAAAAAGTCTGGCCATCCAACTGAAGCGTGCAGAGTGTGGAGTTCTAAATAAACTCCAGCTTCATTGCGTAGGCCCATCCATAAAATATGATGAAGATCACCCAGGTTGGCTGACTGATGCTGTGATCGATGACTTTCATCATTTATGTGTAAACTCTGCCAAGACGGTTTCTTTACCGTCTGGTTCTACCCACTGTTTCCTGGAACTTGAGGATGGAGCCACCCTACCAAACACAACGCTGTAAAGCGTTGAGATTGATTATAATCGGCCTGAATTGGAGCTAATTTTAGCACCAATCAACCTGGATCAATGTCACTGGGTACTTGGAGCTTTCTGGATTCAATCAGGTGGGGGTGGATTTGATGGGGGTGGGGGTGGATTTATAAATGCCGTCTTTATCAAGTTAACCTTATTCTAGATTTAGCAGAGGGATTTATTTAACATAGACTTCAGTGTGCAATTATAGATTCAGAGTAACATTATTTTTAAGAGTGCAGGTAAGGCATTCTGTGATATGACATACCAAAAATTATCGTATGCATTTACGTATACGATTAATCTACATATTCGAATCTTATAAAAGTACCTGAACCTGACCAACACAAAATTTGCATATGTATATATTAATTATGTAAACTTGAGCCGGTTTATAAAAAGTCCAGCAGACAGAAAAGCTGTAAATATATCTTTGCTCCTCGGTGTTTGTCTAAACCAGCAGTCAAAATTTATCAAGCATATGGCCGCATAACTGCCGAAAGGTTGGAAATTAAGGTTTCTGAGTGCAGAAATACTTTCATTTGTAAACTTGAGAATTTAGCGTGCATAATTTAAATAAAGATATTTCATAAGTTCATTTGGTTGTGTTATGGATAAAGTTTTCCACACACTTTTAGAAAACTGGTATTAAATCATTGCCGACCGGAGTATTTACATATGCGACTCTACCGGATGTGGTATTAACGAGAGTTACCGTTGAGTAATGTTGTGGCAATGCAAAATTTACCACTCTTAAACAATTTATCACGAATCCAGTGCGAAATTATTACCAAATCAGTATCATCACGGAGTATCTACAGTCAATGGAACAAGTATAGGCACCACCCACGCAAGCTACCTAAAATTGCCTATAACTTTGGAATGCATTATCAAATTAGCATGAAACTTTGTACACATTTAGCAAATCTAATGTAGTGTTCGATTATAAGCATGTTCCCGACTGAAATTATATAACCGTAACGTTATTCTGATTTTGATACGAACACGTCAGGTTGGAACCTGCAAAATGTATTGGCACCTTATGTCTTAATTATTTGAGCGAAATTTTTATAACGATAAACCTCTGCCTTTTGTCACGGTAAGCTAATCAGATCACAAAATATAACTTTATCTGCTTCGTAAGTCCAAATTGGTATTGTCTACAGCCAAAATTGCGACACCAAACGAGCTATTTTTGGCGGAGCGAGAAATAATCTTGCCTCCTTCTCAAACAAGCTTGGATATCAAATACTCAGACAGGAAACATGCTCCGTGATATTTACTATTCGAAATGTAGTCAAAGAACATGAAGCAATCATTTTAGTTCCTGCTTGCTTATGATCCGGCTAAAAAAGCCGCCTAATCCTAAAATCAACGGATTAATCAAGCAAATTATCACTCGAGATCGGAATATTTCAACCTCCAAAATCATGTTGAATTTGAGTACGAGCTGTGGGGTCAACAGATCATGCAATATGGTGATCAATAAAAAATCATGCCATGGGGTTTCAGGGTCTAGTTGCCCGACAAACGCGAGGGTCCTCAAAACGAAGAAGCTCAATAAATTGGAATGGGGTAAATATCACCCTAAATAGACTTTCATTGAGTAAAGAATGGTCTGCTGCTTCGACATAAGCCAGTATTAATTATTCGGAGCCAATTGAATGGTCCAAGTCTGGCGGATGCCATAAAAGGCTCACAAAAACGAATATGTGCATATGGCAGTTAAACACAGCGTAGGATCGATTGTGGTTTGGGGTTAAATGACTAGGTCGCGGCGTAGTTACCTGGTAATTATCGACAAAGTCATGACCAGGGAGTTCTTATTAAGCATTCGAAACGATAATTTGAAATCATTTGACAAAAACCTGACATAGGAAGGAATTTCATATTCCAAAAACGCAGTGGCCCCAAGCATGCATCCAAATTAACGATGCACATTTTTGGAGACCGAAAAAGTTAAGCTTCTTTCGTTGGCCGCACAGTCTCCCGATGTGATTCTGATTGTCCGGATTGAGAAAAGAGGGAGTGGTGGGAAACCACTCGTCGAAAAACGAGCTTATCCAAAGCTCGAAAGAAGTGTGGGTAGCCATATAGAAAAGCGTTATAAAGAAACTTGTTGAATCAATTCCACGGCGTATTTCTGCTCTTATTGCGTCGAGGGAAGGTGCTACGTAATACTAGTAGCAGTTTGTCGTAATAAAATCGGCGTTCCTTTGATTTATGATTTTTTAAGTTAAGGGTTGCCAATACTTTTTGTGGGTGAATTCTGCAAATTTTCCAGTAAATTATTTAAAAACTGCGTTTATCTAATTTTAATCAATAAAAATTGATTATAATCGAACACTACATTAGATTTGTTAAGAGCGTACAAAGTTTCATGCTAATTTGATAATGCATGCCAAAGTTATAGGCAATTTTAGGTAGCTTGCGTGGGTGGTGCCTATACTTGTTCCATTGACTGTATGTACATATGTGACTCCACCAGATTTCTTGCACTGTAATGTATATATGCATATATTTCAGAAATTAGGTGCACACTCTTATAAAACTGGTATTAAATTGTTACTGGCCGGAAAGAAATGTACAAAATTGTTACTTTATGTAAATATACACATGTACGTAAATCTTCAAGATTTTTCACTGGGTACATATAATTTAGGAACCCTGGGTCCACTCTACCTTATGAAAAATTACTTTCATGTTATTGCTCTTGAGACATTTAATCTTTTCAGATCTGTGTTATAAAGGTATGTATGTACCTAAACCTGACCCAGCACAACATGCATGCATGTTAAGTAAGGTTGAACCGGTTTGTGTCATATTTTTTTGTGAAAATGCAAGGATATATAAATGGCAGAGATCCTCCAGTCGGATTATTGGGTCTTCCAGTCGGGTATTTTTCACGGGCAGGAGTCGTCCCACATAGATTCTAAACGTTCCCCAGGCATAAGAAAATGGGTGGGGCGAAATTATTTTTTACCGTTTGCTCGACAGTATTAATTGTTTCACTCGTTGGGACAACTTTTGCCCTTGAAAACTTGAGTATGACTCAAGCAGGGAAAGAAAAATTGGACCAGGTATAAAATTTCATTTCAGAATTACATACTTAATAATTTTGAAAGAACAAATTTCCAAATTCGATATCAATTTCAGTTTAAAGAGGCCGTTTCCAAGACTACCTTTCCCGCTGAGTGGATGCAACAGGAATTAACTTTCGTTCGGTATCTAAGAGGTTAAGCCAATTCTAAAAACCTTAATGAAACATGCTTCGCCGTGTTTGAGGAAAGAATTGCGATTTTTTCGGACCCAAATTGAATTGAACTACTAAAAAGATAAATATATGGAAGAAAATATTTTGTTTTGCATCAAATCCATGTACTCTTAAACCCACATTTATTATGTCTTAACTTTCTTTTTGTATGGATGGAGTGGTTTTCGCTGTAGTTTCATTTATTAATTGTATGGGGTAATATTAGTAAAATTCAATTAATTTTTTTAGCTCGAGATTGGGACGTTCGGCGAGCTAAGAGTATGCTGCTTGAGGTATGTAAATATGTACATAACTACATACATGTGTAACTAGTATGAAAATTTAGGTATTCGGTGAAAACTGAGTATCTAACTTGGTAATAAATTGGTACGGATTGGAAACCACCCAAAACCCGAATACCTCAAAAACCTTACTTTGTGTACCCTGATTATACACTCTCTACCTGTAAATTAAACCCGTTTCCTTGCAGACGGTCGCCTGGTGGGAGGAGAACAACATGAAAGACATTCATAACGAGGACTGGTCAAATATTGAGAAAGACTTTCCCCTCCACACGGATGGCGTCGATAAGCTTGGACAACCGGGTGAGGAACATTTTTAACATTTTAAATATAAAAATGTGGTCCTTGATTCCATTTATTTCCAACTGGAGTGTGAACGGTACCACAAATTTTCCAAGTTTGCCAGAGAATTATTTTTTTATAATTTTCCGTTGAATGAATTTTGAATGAAGAAGAGAATATTTTTGAACAGACGTTGAAATGTTCATTCATATTTTTAGTAATGGTCCTTACCTTCGCGGAGTGGGAACTTCGCCAGGCAGCAGTCCAGGGTAGGATGGACCACGTGATCCGCTGGTTTATCAAAGGATTTGATGACGTTCACTTGAAATCCTTCGAATATCAAAAATCCGGCAAGACGAACGGAACCCAGTGGAATTTAATCGCGGATATGGATAAGCTCTCTCGTCAGCAGCACCTTTGCATCCAATGTCTCCGTTTTTATACGGAACTTGCCATCACATTTGAATCTCGTTATCCGGGTGCGATTGACAAGATATTCGTTGTGAATGGTAAGTCAGTTATACATAACCGGTGACGCCGACGAACATGCTGGTTTACCCTTTTTGTTAAAAGGTGGTTACCACGATGGTAATAAATTTCCGTGGTAATCAAGAGTTACAAATGTTATGGCAAATTTAACGTTAGAATTCCGAAATGTTGTGATTGCTCGGTCCTAACATTAAGATGACTTCGGTCTGTACAAATTTGCTACAGGAATTAAAATTCGGAGTGGGATCTTCGCGGGGCAGCCGTTCGGGGCCGGATGAACCTCGCAATCCGCGTTAAAGGATATGATGATGTTCACACGAAATCCTTTGTGTATCAAAAACTCGGTAAGACGAACGGAACCCAATGGAATGTGATCGCTGACATGGACAAACTCTCGCGCCAACAGCAGCTCTGCATCCAATGTCTCCGTTTTTACACGGAACTCGTCGTCTTATTGGAATCCCGCTATCCGGGAGCTATTAGCAAGATGTTCGCTATAAATTGTAAGCAAATACATTGAAAATTCTTTATTACCTATATGTTATCTACGGTAACAAGTTTGTTACCGCACAACCAATTTTACCAGAAATGTGACCACCATTAACAAACATGATTGATTACACGATTAAGGAAATGATAAATATTTAGTGAATACCGGTTGCTTAAGGGTGTAAATATTTATAAAATGTGCTGACACACTGTAAGTAAACTTACAATTTTCTTGCAGCCCCTTCAATATTCCAAGTCATCCTCGGCGTGGTTAATCCCATCCTGTCAAAACGTACTCTGAATGCTTTGGAAGTGCTCGGAACGAACAAGGAGGAATGGAGCAAAGTCCTCGACGCTCACTTTGAAAAAGACCAACTTCCTGAAAATTTGGGAGGAACGAGGAAATACGCGACAGTGTGGAACGAGATATAGAAAATCATATGAATAAATATTTGATTTAATAACGAAACCCATAAACTAACAGTTTCATTGCTATACTTACAAATATTTTAATAACAGTAAATCAGGCAGACTAATTGTTTACGAAATTGGATATAAATAAAAAACCGAAGTACTCAAATGAGCATGTAAATATGTTATTACTATACCCAAAAACTAAATTCAAACTAAAATAAAATTGGGTATCTGCATGTAAATGAACTTATGATAAGGTATCACCAAGTGGCTACGATCGATTTTACCGAACGGTACTAAGTTTATTACATTAGGAGGACAACTTAAAAACAATGTTTGAAATATGTAAGTATCTATTTATTTATATACCTTTTTTGCAACTTATTTCGTCAACAAATTGTTATCCTGATGGATCCCATAAATTCCGTTATATTAATATATTTTAATACAAGGTGCAATAGTGCCTTCGCACCTATGAATATATAAATACCTAGGTATGTCTCGACAAAATTGGGAAAAGTTTTGATTGTAAGCTTTAATGCAATTGATTGTATAAATTTGTACAAAACTAATAGTAACTGTAGTTGAAAAGGTGGAAGCTTTCTCCAAATAATTATATGCATTTATATACATAAGATGTAGACCATTAACTAGTAGAAAATTATGAATATTAGAACATTTTCCAATAAAACATCTAGCACCCAGAATTTGAGCAAACGCAATAACACGGATGCGCAATGCAGCTGTAGCACCGGTACCCGGACCAGTAGCAGTGATTACTGCATCCGGCGTGAGTAAATCCCCCGCAGTACGTACATTTCGGAGCGATTGGGTTTTCCTGGAGGGAAATTATGGTGCCGTCGTCAATCGCAACTGGTCGTCTTTGTCCATCTACCTTGGAATTTTCGTCTGGTTGGGCGGCGGCAAAATCCGAAGCTGAGCAGGTGTTGAGACCCTTAATACAAACAAGGAAATTTAAATTTCGATAACAATCATAACTTTTTCTTACATACCAAAGCCAAAACAACGATGAGAATTGAGGCCGATTTGAATTCCATTGTAAATATTGTGTTGCTGACAGTTGAAAACTGTTGTATTATTGTGATTATGTTGAGGTGTGGGAAGTGAAATGATGTCTAATGAACTTGGAACGTCTCTGCGCATTTTTATACTAGCAGAATGCATCATCAGTTGCTGGCAAGGTATAATTTTTGTTTACAACATACATATTCAGCGAGACCCGGAGTTTCGGACGTGACAATATCATCGTAGATATTTTATTGTATCATCGGACACTCAACAACAGTAGAAACTCGTGGCATGGTCCCGAATAACAATAATAAATTAGGATAACTTATCACAAAGATAAGCCACTTCGCGCATCCTGGCACGTAATATTTGAGGTTTGCATATGTATGTAGGAACGTGGATTGCTTACGGTTTCAACAGTTGTAATCAATTCATCATGAATCATCGCGTCACTGCGCCTCTTTGTACCTACGTACGCAGTTGATCACATTAATGTATATTTTTAACCAATGCATTACCCGTTATCACTTGTTGTTGATGCAGACACACAATTATGTTCTTGTTTACCTTTCGCTTATATAAACCAACTAAATAAGCAACAAACAACAACAATAACAGCCTTGTCACATCCGATATTCTCCGAATTAGTTTTTACCGATTTAATGGAAATTTGTTGTTGTAAACATCCCGTATCTCTATGTACGCAGTTAATAAATTATGTTGCAACTTGCCAGTATATAAACTTGCAGAGATCTATTCAATTCATGAGCTATTATTCAAACGCACAACTCAACTAAGCTCCAACAAGTATTGCGGCTTAAATAATACAACTAAATAGCAACCTCAGAAATATATTATTACTAAACAACAATGGAATTCAAAATGGTTTCAATTTTCCTCGTCGTCTTGGCCTTTGTAAGTACATACCTATGAACTAATTAAAAAAGCTGATCTTTATCAAAATTTATCAAAATTTAAATTTCCTTTTACGTATTAAGGGCCTAGCCACCTGCTCAGCTTCGGATTTTGCTCCCGCCCAACCAGACGAAAATTCCAAAGTAGATGGACAAGAACGAGCTGTTGCCACTGACGATGGGACCATAATTTCCCTCCAGGAAAACCCAATCGCTCCGAAGTGCACGTACTGTGGGGGTTTTAGCCACGTCGGATGCAGCAATCACTGCTACTGGTCCGGATACGGATGTTACAGCTGCATTGCGCATCCGTGTTATTGCGTCTGCTCAAATTCTGGGTGCTAGATTACTACTGGAATATACGTCTTGATAAACAAGTATAATTTATTACGGGTTATTAATTTAAATCACATATTGATATAACTAATGTAATGTAGGTTTCCCACCTTTTACTATTTAATCATTTACAAGTTCATATAGCATATTTAATAAATCTCTAAATAAATCTCTAAATAAATTTCTTTTTGACACAAGCCAGTGGTGCAGATGCAATTATTCAGAATATCCCAATAGTTTCACTACGTATGATTTCATCGTAAACATTATAGAACAAATATTTTTAAAATTCCACCTTGCACAATTCTGATAAACCTCCCAAAGCCCCAAGGGTCCCGGTTAGAAAACGCAATTTTGTAAGTTCTCAAAATTCCGTTAGGAATAAATATACATATGCCTGAAAATTTGGGAAATTAATTTAACCCAATGTTAATATCCAATTTTAGGTATATTTACAGAATCACAATCGGTTCAATTCAAATGAAACATTCCAAAATTGTTCATCTAAATATGCCAAAGACGGTAAAGAAGGTAGTTGTTTGTTCAATCAGTGAGAATAAGTTACCGCAAAGAAATTATGCATTCTGGACCACCATGCACACCAGTATCGCTTAACGTAAAAAATGTAGCTATACAATTGACATGATTGTTGCATGTAGTTAACTCCCACGCCCTGCTCATACAAGTTGAGACACGTAAACACATACGTACAAATTTGTAAAGGAGATTCTCATCATTCACCATTTACTTCCATTCGAACTCTCGATAAGAAAATACAGGCCACGGAATTTATACTTATGCAGAATGAATTACGGAATTATTACGTTGCGGAATTATTACTGCTCCGTTCAGAATATGCAAATGCTCTGTTCTATTTATATACCCCATCTCCAGAGCTATGATTAACTAACAAGGTAATGATTTCTAGCATTGAAGATGAATATGTAAATGCTAGAACTTGGTACATATGACCCTTGTAAGTTAATTCCCACGGTAAGCTCACACAATGAATTTTTTTAATGAATATTTTTTTAAATTTTAATGACTGAATTATGAATATTAATTTATTCCTTCTGTTTTCATGAACAATGAATGAATAATTTTGTTCATTATTCATTTTTCACGTAATGCGATAATAAGGCGAAGTTGCGATTAAACTAGAGGATGAACTGATAATGAATAAATATTTTCTTTCAAAGTTTTAGTTAATCAAATCAATAATGAATTAATAATTTTTCCCACTTTTTACATTGAATGAATTTTGAATGAAAAGATGTTTTTTGAACAGATATACACTTAAGCAAGTCAAGAAAGGAAATCTTACTACAATCCCGTTCGAATTGAAGGATATCTCCCTCATGGATCCAAAACGTGGATTAATCTTCCCAAAACTAACTTACAGCCCAGTAATCACCGCTAAAATAAAAAGGCTTACCGACAAATTTAAATCGTACTGGGGTCAACTATCTCAAAGTGGCGCGCTGGAAATGGGCTACAATTCTGCAGCCGCAAACGAAAAGTTGGACGAGTTGTCGATGCCGATTGACAAATGGTGAGAGTAATAAAGACCTATTTTCCTCATATTCGATACCAAAAAAGCATTCGATTTTGGTAATCTTGTTTATATAATGCATTTAAAATTTTACTACAAAATTTGGCAACTACAATTGCACGTACGTTTTCACGTTACACAAAATATTAATCTTAGGATACAAATCCCAAACCTTAAAAAAAACTTGTGAAAATAATCTCTAAAAATTAAAGAAATTATGAACAAATCAAAATAAAATCTACTCCGATCTGTTCTAGGTTGTCGGGACATAACCTTAGCGAGCTAATTCCGCTCTTTTACCCTCCCATTACTGCTCAGGGATACGGCGACGTGAGAAATATCGCAGTATTGTACGCCATGAAACTCATTGTTGCCGAGGACATCGAGTTGCTGACCTTAATCGGTGACAACACCGCTTTTCAGGTGAAGGAAGGATTCGACACGTTTGTCCACAGAATTGCAGAAACCGTACGAGATAAATACCTCGGGTGGAGGGCGGTCAGGATAGAGAGATTACGGCAGACGGGAACGCAACAGGTGACATTTCGCGTGGGAAATTTTCAAATTGTGCGTACCTGTGGGAAAACAATTCTCGCCTTTCCCCCACTCCTGGGGCAAGTTGCCACCCTACTTAGCGATATTAATTGGAAGGAGAAACACATTTTTAGTCAAGTAAAAGTCCACAAATATATGACGAGTGGAAATGACATCCCGAATTTGCAACGAAACGTGTACCTTGGATTAGTACCAATTAGCCGGAATGAAAGTCGCGACATAATCCCCGAACTTATTCCGTACGCAGGTGATGGAGAAGTGGTCGCGTTTACCAAGCAAATGAAAGGGGTGAGCAATTTGAAAGTTAATGAATACATTTATTAAATTATTGCAATTTTTGAATTAAGCATTAAAGCCGCCCATTGGGCCAAAACTTGATTAGTTTTGCTTTTTACTGAGAACTTGTAATTGTACATGCAAATATTTAAATATGAGATCATTATACATGTATGTACGAGATTGAATCCTAAATTTTTGTGGGACCCATTCATACGTCGGTGTTCTTTTCACATGATACGAAAATGTAAAATTGATTATGTTAATTATTTTCTAATGATTCCAGACACGCCCTTACTACACCGGGTATTCCTGGATTTATGGAGATTATACCGACCCAGCGAATGGGGCTGATATATTCCTTATGCTCACCAAGTTGACAGGAACACTAAGAAAGATACATCCATTTTCCAGAACGCTTTTCACCTCGGTCACCGATTACTTTCCCCACGTGACCGGACAATCCATCAGGGACGGTTTTTACCGTGATTTTGAGTCAATTCAAGGTGATGGAGGGCTTTATTTTGCCACGACGCTGCTCACGTTTGAAACTGTAAATGGTGCGATTGAAATGGGAGAGAAATTCGTGGATAAGTATTTTTGACATGTCGAATTGTTTCAAAATATTACAATTTGTTAAGTCGCTGAATTATTATTTTTTATTTAAAATTTTCAAGCGTATCGATGCAGTTAAAGTTGTGTAAATATGTGCGTATGCTTATGGAGGAAGGGTTAAGTTAAGTTAATTAAAGTAATTAATACCCGACTGGAATGCATCCATTTAATGCATTTTCAAGACCAATGTGAAGAATTTTTATTGGATTTCATAAAAATGTGCAACATTAAACACTGCTAATACACGGTTGTAAATGCATAACAGTATTTTCTGGATTTTTACTTGAAGAATAACCAGTTTACAATAAAACGTTTGGCTGCAATAAGTAAATATGCTACATATACCCCTAGAAATCCAGTATTAAAATAATACCAACCGTTGTTCATGCAAGACTGCCAATACCAAAGTGGTATTGGTAGCTACATATTACAGATTTTTCACATCAATAGCAAATTTTGGCCGAGTATCTTTTCTCCGTATTTTTTACCGAGATAAATACCGAGAAATTAATTACCATACCAGATTCATAACAGTCCGTTTGTAAAAATTATGTTGCAATTAAATTCAAATGCATTTTTCCAGAGTTACGAAACAAGTTTTTGTTACATTTTGTACCTAAAAACATGCAGCAGTGAATATTGTAATTGCAAATGCATTACATTGTTTGCTGCATTTGTAGATAGGGAAAACCCAGTCGTTAAACAACATTTTGCTGTGATGACAAGAGTGGGATCTGATGTGAAAATGAATTTGCATATCGTCCCGGTGATATCCATCGCTGATTTCTTAAATTTTGTGTCATCCACAAGTGACAGGGTTTCGTTTGTCCAGTCCTAAACTGGTTTTCATAAAGGTAGTGGGGAAAAGTGGGAAATATAGTTTTTTTCCCTGTCTAAAATGGGCAAATATTGTAGTCACGCTACAATGGAAAACTGTCCATGGGAAATATCTCCGATAAACTTGCGCATTGGCAGATAGTTCCATTTGCAAATTTCACACTAATTATATTTGTGATTAATTGACACTGGTTTGGTCCAAATCTCTGAACCAGGGTTCGGAAAAACCCAGGGTTTTAATCAAAAAATTATAAAAACCCGTGGGTTTTAATAGGTTTTACCATGTTAATTGGGTTTTATTAGGGTTTTAATGGGTTTTAATAGGTTTTATTGGGTTTTATTATAAGTAATAACTTACAAAAATAATTCGGAATTTGTATCTATTCGGAAATTATTTTTGTTTTATAACACTTGAAATCTGTGATGCAAAAGGATGGAGTCAATTGTTGATTTGTTCTGGATTTTCATATATTAGAATAGTAATGAAATAAACTGCTTTAGTGAAATTAGATAACATCTTCTAACGTATCTATACGTTAGAAGATGTTATCTCCTATAGGAGATGTATTTAACTTTTAGAATGTAGTTTTAAGGTAAAACTCAATTAAAACCCAATAAAACCCATTAAAACCCAAATAAAACCCACTTAACATTGTAAAACCCAGTGGGTTCATTTACAACCCATTAAACCCCAGGTCGGAATGCCCTGCTCTGAATATAAGTTACAAGACCTCCATTGTTAGTAATTAGTGCTTTGTACGAATGTGCCAAAATGTTCGTACTTGTGAATATACATATCTTTCAGAATGACTAATTACATGACCAGTTAACTCATACATATATGATCATCTGTACCTTGCAATTCACAAAGTCACTTCTATCCTATGGAAAAATATAGTACCAAGGGTTTGTTTTCTAACAGTTATGCAAATTGTTTATTTAGCTCTCATAAAAGTACCTGAACCTGACCAAGACAACATTCCAAAATATTGACAAAACCAGTTTATGACAAATTATATAAGAGATAACATCGCGACCGACATATTTATCAAATGTGAGGAGTTCAACAAATTTATGTCCTTGGGAAATTCGTCGCTTCGCAAATCTCGCAAAATTTATTAGAACGCCGCTCTTGATACTTCGATTGTTTTCATGAATTTCTGCATTTTCGTTAGTGGTGATGGACAGGATGAGTTTGCGAAACAAAAACATCTCCATTTTCTGAGTAAGTTCGCGAAAAAATCGTATTGTTATACATACAGTAGAAGATTTGCGAAATCTAGAAAACTTTGCAAGTCATGTATGTAGTTATGATGATATTGGCAATTTGCGACATATGCTATTGTTGACATGAGTAGGCTCAGTTTAGGTAAACCTCTGGATATCCAAAGATGAAACTAAATCCAGACAAAACTTTACTCTTTATCAAGTTAACCTTATTCTACATAGATTTGGTAGATTGATTTAGTGGAGTGAATTATCTAACATAGACTTCAAACTCATGCAATTATTAAGTAGCTTCAGCTACTTTATGCGAAGACTTTGTCTGTCTGTCTGTCTGTCTGTCCGTCTGTCAGCAGGATAACGGAAGAACGGATTGAGATAATCGAAATCGGTTTTCGCCATTATACATATGACCCTAGGGGGAGGATCCTATCAACTTTTGGGGGCAACCGGACCACCCCTCTTGGCGCCAGGGGGTGTGGTCGGGGCAAAATGAGATTTATAGTGCAATTTGATCTATGGATGAAATAGAGTGAAATGAAGTGATCCCGAGTTGTGCCACACCCCCTCAGCGCCAGGGGGTGTGGTCGGGGCAAAATGAGATTTATAGTGCAATTTGATCTATGGATGAAATAGAGTGAAATGAAGTGATTCCGAGTTGTGCCACACCCCCTCCGCGCCAGCGGGTGTGGTCGGGGCAAAATGAGATTTAAAAAAATTGAATCTATAGGTGAAATGGAGTGAAATTGAGTGTTTTCGCGATGTCATGGGAGTGGTTGGGGTGAAGTAGTCTGAAGCTACTTCCGTATGCGCGTTTGCGACGGTTTATTTTCAGAGTAACATTATTTTTAAGAGTGCAGGTCAAGCATTCTGTGATATGACATACCAAAATTATCTTATGCATTTACCCAGACGATTAATCTACATATTCCAATCTTATAAAAGTACCTGAACCTGACCAACACAACATTTGCATATGTAAATATTAATTATGTAAACTTGAGCCGGTTTATAAAAAGTCCAGTAGACAGAAAAGCTGTAAATATATCTTTGCTCCTCAGTGTTTGTCTAAACCAGCAGTAAAAATTTATCAAGCAAATGGCCGCATAACTGCCAAAAGGTTGCAAATTAAGGTTTCTGAGTGCAGAAATTCTTCCATCCGTAAACTTACACTCAAAATAAAAATTTGTCGAGTCAACACCGCAGGTGTCAATATATGACTTAACCGCCTTGGTTACAATGTTGAATCCGAGTTATGATGATTTTGATACCGGTAGTTACAATGTTATGACCGGACGGAAATAATGCATTACTACTCGGAATCACAATTGTAACCAAGGCGGTTAAGTCATATATTGACACCGTTTTGTTTTGAGTGTAGAAATGCAGCGTGCATAATTTAAATACATACACTTCATAAGTTCTTTTGGTTGTTTTGTAGATAAAGTTTTCCGTAACGTATTTATGTTTGCATAATTTAGGTACACACTGGTATAAGACTGGTATTAAATTGCTACTGGCCCAGCCACATGTAAATAAGTACACTGAAAAATTTCCAGTGCGATGTGGTCACTCCACAAATTTGTCCTCATTTCCACCACGCGAGGTCCATATGTGCATGTTTCTCCACCTCACCGGATTTTTTACGTGAACATAGGTAAACATATGTATCTCTACCGACATTGTATTTAATAACGAGCATTATCATTTTATTTAATAATTTTACTGTATTGAAAAAATTACCAGTTAGAAACAAACTACTATAAATTTGGTAGGAGATTTGCCAAAAGAAATTGAGTCTAAAATTTTTACTATAAATACACATATACATACAAATCTACAAGATTTTTCATTGTGTACATGCAATTGGGGAACCCTGGCTCCATGCACTCTATCTTATGAAAAATTACTTTCATGTTCTTGCTCTTGAGACATTTAATCTTTTCAGATCTGTGTTATTAAGGTATGTACCTAAACCTGACCCAGCACAACATGTATGCATGTTAAGTAAGGTTGAACCGGTTTGTGTCATATTTTTTTGGTGAAAATGAAAGGATATATAAATGGCAGAGATCTTCCAGTCGGATTATTGGGTCTTCCAGTCGGGTAGTTTCCGCGGGCAGGAGTCGTCCCATATAGATTTTAAACGTTCCCCGGGTATAACAAAATGGGTGGGGCGAAATTGTTTTTTACCGTCTTCTACTCGACAGTATTAATTGTTTCACTCGTTGGGACAACTCTCGCCCTTGAAAACTTGAGTATGACCCAAGCAGAGAAAGAAAAATTGGATCAGGTAATATAAAATATAGTTTCAGAATTAAATACGTAGTAAATTTCTAAGAAAATGTTTACAAATTTTCAAATTCGATGCGAATTTCAGTTTAAAGAGGCCGTTTCGAAGACTACCTTTCCGGCTGAGTGGATGCAACAGGAGTTGACTTTCGTTAGGTATCTAAGAGGTTAAGCCAATTCTAAAAACGTAAATGAAACATGCTTCGCCGAGCTTGAGGAACGAATTGTAATTTTGTCGGACCCAAATTTAATTGAACGACTAAAAATATATATGGAAGAAAATATTTTGCTTCGCATCAAATCCATATACTATTAAATCCTTATTAATCTTGCATTATCTTTGTCTATTATTTGCAACGAGTGGTAGTTGAAGTGGTTTTACTACTCAATCAAACTATTACCAATCCGATAGGAAATTATTACCAAATCAATACCAGTATGGAGTATGTATATGTATGTGACTCTGCTGGATGTTTTTCAGTGCAGGGTAATCTAAAGCCAGTTAGCAGACAGGCAAACAACATGCTTATACATAAATCAAGGGCCGGGACACAATTTTCGCTGTAGTTTCATTTATTAATTGTATGGGGTAATATAAGTAAAATGCAATTAACTTTTTTAGCTCGAGATTGGGACGTTCGGCGGGCTAAGAGTATGCTGCTTGAGGTATGTAAATATGTACATAACTACACGTGTAACTAGTATGAAAATTTAGGTATTCGGTGAAAATTGAGTATCTAACTTGGTATTAAATGGGTAAGGATTGGAAACCACCCAAAACCCCAATACCTCAAAAACCTTGATTATACACTGTCTACCTGTAAGTTCAACCCGTTTCCTTGCAGACGGTTGCCTGGTGGGAGGAGAACAACATGAAAGACATTCATAACGAGGACTGGTCAAATATTGAGAAAGACTTTCCCCTCCACACGGATGGCGTCGATAAGCTTGGACAACCGGGTGAGGAACATTTTTAACATTTTAAATATAAAAATGTGGTCCTTGATTCCATTTATTTCCAACTGGAGTATGAACGGTACCACAAATTTTCCAAGTTTGCCAGAGAATTATTTTTTTATAATTTTCCGTTGAATGAATTTTGAATGAAGAAGAGAATATTTTTGAACAGACGTTGAAATGTTCATTCATATTTTTAGTAATGGTCCTTACCTTCGCGGAGTGGGAACTTCGCCAGGCAGCAGTCCAGGGCAGGATGGACCACGTGATCCGCTGGTTTATCAAAGGATTCGATGACGTTCACTTGAAATCCTTCGAATATCACAAACGCGGCAAGACGAACGGAACCCAGTGGAATTTAATCGCGGATATGGATAAGCTCTCTCGTCAGCAGCACCTTTGCATCCAATGTCTCCGTTTTTATACGGAACTTGCCATCACATTTGAATCTCGTTATCCGGGTGCGATTGACAAGATATTCGTTGTGAATGGTAAGTCAGTTATACATAACCGGTGACGACGACGAATATGCTGGTTTACCCTTTTTGTTAAAAGGTGGTTACCATGATGGTAATAAATTTGCAAGCCATGGTAATCAAAAGCTACAAATATAATTGCAAACTTAATGTTAGAATTCCGACATGTTGTGATTTCTCGGGCCTAACATTAAGATGACTCCGGTCCGTACAAATTTGCTACCGGTATTTAAAAATTTTAATACCGAGCCTTTACTACTCTGTATTACTTATGTAGCAATACCATTTTGATAGAGTCATGGTACGTCTATCGCTCGTTATCATTTTAATACTAGATTTTTAAGACTGTAAATATTTTCAGAATGTCTGTAAATTTACGAAACAAAATGTTTTTGCAGCCCCTTCAATATTCCGAGTCATTCTCGGTTTGATTAACCCCATCCTGTCGAAAAGTACTCTGAATGCTATGCAAGTGCTCGGAACGAATAAGGAGGAATGGGGCCGAGCAATCTACCCTCACTTTGCAAAAGACCAACTTCCAGAAAATTTGGGAGGGAGGAGAAATTATTCTCTAGTTTGGAACGAAATATCGTGAAGTTCGTTTACATATTAAACGTATAAAATCAGTTTACATACTGATTTACAACTATATTAAAATAAATTAGGCAAAAAAATTGTTTACGAAATCCGATAAAAAAGCACTCAAATAAACATTCGTTGAACGATTTTGATAACAAAATGATGACAAAATTAGGGATTAATAATAACTTTAACAATTAAGTACAAACAAGAATAAATTGAGTTTATTAAAAAAAATACTAATAATACATCGAGGAAAATTTTTTAATTTAAAAAATAACTCATTTATGATTATTAACTTGTAGCGTTGGGGACAGTGGAACCCAACCTAACCGACAGATCCGACACCCATTCAATGTTAAACAATCATCCCATGTAATACATATAGGTTCATATCTCTTATCGATGAAGCAGCCAAATGCCTGCACAATTTTATATGTTGGGGACCGGATCTGATTACGACCTCTCTTGAGTGATACCATTTAAAACATGTCATCACCAGCCTCGCCCAGTTATTTGTGCAAGTCAGAGTTCTTATTGAACCAGAACGCATTATAATTAAATTACCATACATCATATTTTTGCAAAATATGGCGCAAGGTTTGGCACACCAACAATTAGAAGACGTTCTCGAGTGCACAATTTGCCTGGACGTTCCTGCCTCCCCTATCAATAATTGTGCCAATGGCCACATTATTTGTGGCTTCTTTGTGTAGAAAAAATAGGAAAGTGTGGTCTCTGTGGGGATGCCAGTTTTCAAATATCTATCCTAGCAGAGCGACTGTCCCGCCAGGCAGGTTTCAAATAATAGAAATATTCAGAAATATGCTGAAATTCGTATTTTACATAACTTGGTGATTCATTTCTGTACAGCTTGATTTTAAGATAAAATGCCCGAATTTTGGGTCTGGTTGTGTTCGAGTCATTTCTGCAGCTAAAATGAAAACTCATCTTGAAAACTGTTATTACCGGTTAGTTTTGTCTTCTTTCACGTACAAATTTATGTGCTAACAAATAATAAACTGCAATCGTTAATCTATAGCGAGATAGAGTGTGAGGTCTTGCGTGGAAATATATGCAAAAAAGTTAAGGTTCCTATAAAAGAATACGGGAATCATTTAGTGGAGCATCACAAGTGTCTCATGAGGACAATATTTTCCCCGGAATTCCCTTACAAGGATGGTAAACTTGCTGGTAATTGTAACCTAATTTAGAAATGGATTCTGCTAATTCACAATTTACTCTACACTCGAAACAAAAGTTTGTCAAATCAGCACCACCGGTGTTAATATCTATATGACTTAACTGCCTTGGTTAAAATGTTTAATCCGAGTTATGATGATTTTGATACCGGTAGTTATGTATAATGTTATGACCGGACGGAAAAATCTCACTACTCGGAATCACAATTGTAACCAAGGCGGTTAAGTCATATATTGACACCGGCGGTGTTGATTTGACAAAATCAAGTTTTGTGTGTAGGCAATAACACGTGTAGACCTTTGATTTTGTCACACGATGGGAACACTTTCCTCTTCAACTGCCAGACAGGGTTCGACCAACTTATGTATTTCTGGATGACTGTGTTAGGAGATGATAAAGACGCAGAAGAGTATTCATATGAGATGGTCATTTTCAAAACGATAGAAGGAGGTAGGCAGGTTGGTGCAATATTAATCTGTACTTATTAACTCTTCATTTGAACTACAAGGCAATGCTAAGGTTGTTCCAATTTCATATTTGTAGATTAAGACGTCAAGTACGATGCCCGTCTTTGCGTATCACGACCGGCCAAAATATATTCCAGGTTTACCATTCTATGTAACTCTTCCGGCACAAATGTTAATAGAGTTTTGTACTCCGCCCAAGACTGAGAGGCTTACCTATGAGCATGCATTTAAATGTTCAGTTAGTTTGCTAAAACGTACAGTTTCAACTTAATGTAGTCTCGCTTGGGTAGAAACATATTGTGAAACAAAACGATTATTTTGAACAACATTTTTCTTAGTGAGGCAAATACTTAGCAACAAAAAATTCACTAAGTATGTATTTACCCCACCCAAAAAAAGTGACTTTGCAGGATATCTCAGTCATTTCCCAACCGATTTTGATGAAATTTTGCACCGATCATTGTTGAGCAGTTTAAAGACGATTGTCGAATCCCCGTTTTGAATTTTTAATTTTTAACCGAGTTTTGGGCAAAAATGTGCCCTTAGAAACACATTTTCATTTATTGTTGATCACTGGAGCATATGAGAAAGGATTCAAATCCCACATCTTGTAGAGTATTTTTTCCGTAAATTTTAAGCTGGATATGATCAAAATCGGTTGAGAAATCGTGACGTTATTCAATATAGAAACTTGCAATTTTTTGCAGCAACATAGCGTTAATGTCGTTGACAACAAAAGCTACATATGTTCACGCTAATTTTTAGGATTACGTGTTTACTCAATTACAAGTATTAAATAAACAAGGTCCCAAAAAGTTGGAAATCTTAGTGAGGTAGTGCCTAACAAATAAAATTAGATTGAAAAATTTTTGCATCGCCGCTCTTGGTACTTCGATATTTCGTCTTATTCGGAGCGGTGATATAAAAATTTTGCAATCTAATTTTATTTGTTAGGCACTACCTCACTAAGATTTCCAACTTTTTGGGACCTTGTTTATTATTATAATGTTTTACTCTTATTATTGTGACTAATAATCTTACATAATTAATAAGTATGTCCGATTATTATGTTAAAAATTTAAATTAGAACTGTTTACATCTTACGAAAATTTCAATAAACATCTTGAAGCTAACAGAATTTCTGCCTCACATATACCAGTTCAATTTTTTCCTTCAAACGTCAGTCATCCTCATGTTTTCATGACCGAAGAATTTCATTCATATTAAGTCATCTTCTTTCAAACTCATTTCAGATCACTTAATCGGACTTCATTTCTTACTGATTAATCTTGCTTAGCTACTCTAACGGAGAAAAGGTTCAGAGCCCCTGGGATATATGTATATAGAGAACATTATTCAGAGTTCAGGGTACCCATTCATCTCCAATGTATGCATCAAAAATGACGTGTCTTCCTCCCATAGCACGGCTTGTCTTTTTATCCGACCATCAGTTGGTCAACGAATTGGAACAATCATTGTTAATCAGTTCATGCTGCGTACTATGTGCTGGTCGGCTCCAATATCAGCAATCCGAATCTGATTCTTCTCTTCATATGTTTCTAATGTCATGAATGCATGAGGATGATTTTTATCCTGTCTGTGTTGCTCTGAGGCATTTCTGTCGATTATTCGATGTGAGTTTGAAGTATTAAGCTGATTCTGCTACCTGCTATGATTATTGATATAATTGTCGTTTTCAGTTTGTATTCTTCTAGATTCCAAAATAATGCAAACTGAAACATAAGTCAACGCCGCCGATTGCACCCCGCGAAAACTTAGATCGCCTTGAAAATGTGCTGATAAATAAAACATTCAAATACTACTTGAAAAAATCGCGACCCTGCCACAGTAAACCGATATTCAAGATTGAGCATTTCAATAAGAATCTAGGGTTTAATAAAATATAGTAAACTTAAATAAGTAAGGTGATTAAGTATGGAGCATAAGTAAGGTGCCGATGAAATTAACGTTAACAGCCGATGATTAAGAGTGCAATTTACCCACGACGAATTTCGAAGCATGCGAAGAATTAGGCACGAAAGAAAAATCTTGCCTATGTAGGGCGCAATTATGCCCAGCTCGGGGCCTGCTAATCGATATATCAAATTAAATTGGAATGCATTTTTTTTCAAACCCATCAAATGGGTTTTATTAAATTTCATAAAAATGTGCAACAATAAATATCTACATGGCTGTAAATGCATTACATTGTTTGCTGCATTTTTAACCAGTTGTCCATGCAATGCAAATATACACACATGAAAATTGCGTTGTTTCTTGATAAAGCTTGTTTTACTAGTTTACTGTGATATGTCTCGAGTATATAACTTATTTTAACAAATACCTACAATTGATAAACAGTGGTACATATTTTGTCGCATGAATTGTCAAGGGTTTGGTTTACATAATTTGTTTAGTCTCAACCAAAGTACCTGAACCAGACAAATTAAAGAATCCTATTACCTAAATAAGTTTATATAACTAAATGGGTTCATGACACATTTTATAAAAATACAACCTAAATATTTAAATGAGATACGTATGCATGTAAATATGTGCATAGCTGGTAAATATACAAACGTAAGTATGCCCAGTATTTGTGTACACTTGTCAAAAACTTTTGAAAAATCCGACCAGGTAAATTGTTTACAAGAATATCGCAGGAAAAGTTTATACATATTTAAATTAAATTATCCTAGTACATATTTTTAGCCGGTGTAGAAGATTTTACTGTTGTAGCATGCAAATTTAAGGTGTATAAGTATGTGATTTATAAATTACAACATATATATGTGTACGTATTGATCCGTGTATTTCTACACGTTTAATTAATTATGATGTTTTTCGTAAAGCACATAAATACGGTGTGTATTTAGCGTATATATCTCTGAATGTTCTGTACATATATACTGCTCAGAATTCCGTATTGAGTAATCTATGCAAAGTGAACTCCACCCTTTCCGAATTTAAGGCTAGTCTGGATTTAGATACGTAACGTAGCATAAAATTCAGAGTGCATTTACTTTTCAAAAGGGTAACTTTATTTTTTAGAGTGTGAATCAACTATTCTTTCACAAATGTAGAACTTTTTGGAGTATATGGAAATACTAGACATTTGCCCAGACCCATTTAATCTATTAGCGATCTAATAAAAGTACCTGAACCTGGCCAACACAACATACATATGAATATATATAGCTGTAGCCGGTTTAAATATGACACATTTCATGAAAAGTGCAGCAGTCGTAAACTCAGATGTGTATGTCCTGTCTTGGTATAAATCCGCAGAAAAAAACTTCACAACCCTATCTCGGCATAACAGCCAAACGCTTGCAAATTAAGATTTCTCAGGGTGCAGAAATTCTCACATTTCCAAATTGGAGATGTATATATTTAACACTTTACATTGCATACTTTACATACATTGGCATACGCTGAGGAGTAGAAGGTCACTACTTGTCGGGCCCCGATTTTGATCTCCTTTGGATATGTTGTAGTACTACATGAGTGTGGACAAAGTGAAGGAGGGTTAGACTCCATGAGCCCATTTACGCCCGCCACACCCCCTCATTGGTGCCCAAACCCCCAGAGTTGCCGCACTAAAATCATCGCCAGAAATCGAGTTTTGGTCAGATTTTCAAGAAATTTACATTTTTGTGATCCCAGATAGTTGCTTTATCATATCCAATAGAAAACTCAACTTTTTTGAAATTTTCAATATTTTCGAAGATTTTCTGACCAAGGGTATGTGTTGAAAAAATTCGAAATTTCAAAAAAATTGAGTTTGCAATTGGATATGATAGAACAACTATCTGGGATCACAAAAATGTAAATTTTTTGAAAATCTGACCAAAACTCGATTTTTGGCGATGATTTTAGTGCGGCAACCATGGGGGTTTGGGCGCCTTTGAGGGGGTGTGGCGGGCGTAAATGGGCTCATGGAGTCTAACCCTCCTTCACTTTTTCTACACTCACGTAGTGCTACAACATATCCAAAGGAGATCGAAATCGGGGCCCGACAAGTAGTGACCTTCTACTCCTGAGTACATATGTATGAGGACACATGGAGTACACACCATACAGATTTCTCACTATGTGCGTACATGCAATTTAGGAACCCTGGCTCCACTTTATCTTTATGGAAAACTACTCGCAAAATTTGTCCTTGTTTTGAGACATCTAATCTTTTAAGATCTTTGTGATAAAAGTACCTAACCCTGACCCAACACAACATGCAAACGATCCAATTAGAATTGACTCTGTTTATGTCTGCTGTGTTTTTTATAAAAATGGGAGGATATATAAAAGCAAGGGATTTTCACCTTTCGTTGGATTATTGGCTCTTCCAGTGGGGTAATTTCCAACGCCAGGAATTCCTAATAACTAGCCTTATTTAGTTTCTGAATATATTTACACACTTAAAAATAGCGTCCCGGGTAAAAATCGTTATGTCGAAGTATGCATAACACGCTATACCGACCTTGCACATTACACTGTGCATACGAATCTATGCATTGTTATGCATACATATTATGGCGTTTAAAGTATGCATTGTACTTTGTGCACATCTATGTCGAGCATTTATGTCGTTACCTATATGCGTGATTTAACACGCATAATTTTGCCAGACAAATATGCATTTAAGTTTGTGGATATTCTTTTCTGCAGAATTATGAATATAAAAGCTAAAATAGACACCATCGCCTTAAATTGCTCCTGTAGTTGAGGAATGCTTTTTGTCAGCACAGTTTTAATAATTAAAAACGTTTAAATTGATTTTTAGGAAAATTCTCATAAATTTATTCTAATTCAGAACAATTTAACAAACCTGTGACTACTGCAATATTTCTTGTTTTATCATATTGACATATGTATTTCGTATTTTCAACCAAATTAGCTAACACTATCTTTACTGACTGTCCAATTTGAAGAACTTTATATGAAATCGTTGACAATTTATACTCAGTTACGCTTAAGCGTTTAACTAGGAGAACACCATCGCCTTCCTTAATACATACAATATGGAGAATTACATAAAAATTGGAACTAATTTTAACAATTGAGTTGATTCGCTTTTTAGTTTCCTTTTTACTGGTGTGAAACATCTTACCATTAATTACAACAGAGTTATAGGAAAATCCATCATTACAATTGAATCCCATTTTTACTAACAGTTTCTTTTCATGATTGCTAAATATGCATAACTTTTTGGCACCGAGAAAAGTGCATAATTCAGTTTTAAGTGACTTCTGATAATATTTCCGCCTTTCCGTTGTTGATAAATAATAGTTTTTTGCCATTAAATTTGAAAAAGAAACACTTGATAAAGCAAACATTCTCAGCAATAATTAATTTCTTTGCAATTTGTAGTCCGACCTCTGTCGTCCCAGAGAAGCTATTAGTCAAAACACCATTATAATTTTCAAATTGGAACAACGAGTACGCCCAAAGGGGTCCCCAGTTTTTTACACAATCAACCGAATGAGAGACCAGATGCACATTAAACGAACAGTACGAACTGTCATACAAATCTGGGAGAACTACACAAAACTGCTTGATTAAATTATCTGACGTTTCTAAATCTGCTCGAGTAATTACATCTTTGCAAAGAATAGTGATAGCTGTAACAAAGTTCGAGAAATGTTTAAGATAAGGTTGGCTTAAGATTCCGTTTAGTAAAGGTACGGCTAATATCATCCAAATTTTCCACTCGTGAGCTTTCCAATATTTAATATCCTTAATTTCTCTCAAAATTCGCTGACATTCTACTGGAAACTTGCACAAATTTATTCTACAATTGATTTCAACTTCTTGGTGCCCAATATAAAACGGGAAATTGTGATTTTTGCTATCCAACCATGCACACGTTAAAGTACGAACAACACCAAGCAAACAAGTGTGCATGTAGTCGAACACAAATCCGTGGACAATGTCAAACTTTGGCAAGAGGATTAGTTTTGATGGGGCCTTAATTCCGAATACATTGGTGACGTTGTTGTTGCCATTGTGTAATAAATCCCGTAATTCGCGAAGATGTGATGTGAAATTTTCTTGATCTCTTGACTGGTGAACTTTTTTAGTTGGGAATATCCATTTGTGCCTTCTTTCATCAATCCAATACGTCTCCCCTTTTATCAGACACCACGGGCAGCTGAATTCGCCATTGTACTGATTTATACCTTGTAGTTGACATCTAGCTGGCGAGTCGGCCGCAACCATTGGAAAGTATGCATTACTTTTAATCGATTTACCGTCAAAAGTCCAGCTAATACCGTGTGTTGCAAGGTCCTTTGACTGGTCCAAAAATGGTTGAAGAAAAATATCGAAATTTGGCTTCTTATCGCCGAACCATAGCCCAATTAATAATGTGTGCTTCCGGCGTAATTGGTAAGGTAACTCGTTAATGGCAAGATTGGCCAAATAGAAAAACGGGATGAATTAAAGACCGAAATTCCATCCGAGTTAAAACAGCAGGTTATATCAAAATTTGTTAGACCCAGTTTCTTGTATGACGATCCATCCATAATGTCCCTGAGCTGTGTTTCGTTTCTGTTTCCTCGGTCGATAAGACTTCTGTACAAAGCTCGTTTTATATCTTCATGCTGCAGAGTAGATTCAATTGTCTGCTTAACATCGAACGAAAGAAAATATTTTCCGTCTTTGACAAATTGTTGAACGTTAAACTTGTCTCCACAAGTTTGGCAGGCTCCAGACATTAAAACAGCACTACATTTCTCACAATAAAAAATTTTCTTTATGGCGCCGATATCCACCCCAAGTAATTTCTCAGCCAGATAAGGTGATGTTGGCATGCTGTCCCCCATTGGTAAATGAAAATTAAGAAGAGTGAGCAAATCGGATAGAGCAGATTTTGATAACTGGTGGCGACTTGCAAATCCATAGACCATAAGATAGCTTTCTATTGCAGAAATCTTCGCTCCATCAAATAACAAGGACGAGTGTGTCGTTGCAGGAGTCTATACGCAAAAAATTTAATATGACATGACAATTCTTAACTATTTATAACATCATATTTTAAACTAACAGAACGGGGAATTTCATCATCACTTAATTCCTCTTCGCTTGAGTCGATTGGCTCTTGAAATGCTTCCTCCTGATTAAACAGATTGACAAAAAATCAGGACTATTTTTAAACCGGAATGATTCCATCATTATTACATTTCGATTAAGCTGTAAATCATCCACATCCTCGATTGACCTTGGGGATTGGCCCTTTTTAACGGAAGAAGGTACAGTTTTATGTTGGCCGGACTAAATAATAAAGATAGTTATTTTTTAAATAGTTTCACATTAAAAATAAAGTTTACCTTTTCCAAGATACGATGAGTTGTCCTACGGGGAAGTTTGAACCCCCCTTCTCCAGTAGGGGAACGAAAATAAGTTTTATAGCTTTTATTTTTTGACATTATTATTTACTTTACATATTTGATCTCAAATCCTCAATCTCTCTTAGCCCCTCAACTGAACCGCCTACACTGAAATAAGGAACTCGTGCCAAATATTAGTTTACCACTCATCTTTGTCGACCACAATAAATTCCCAAAATATTGAAAATTTAATTGAGATGGAGTTCCTTCTTGTTGAGTGGGTGGAGGAGGCAAGGACATACTCAGTAGTGTCAAAGGACAGACTTGTCGACGGTACACTACGTGCCTTATCACAGGAATTGGTCGGAAAAGTGGCTGGGGTCTTTTGGAGAGGAAAGAAGGTCTTCATGTGTAAAATTTTAGAAATTGGTAAACTTGCTCATACTGTTATAAAAACAGTATTTAATGTATGTAAATGCCCTCAACTTAATGTATTTTGCGGTTTTAGGTGAAACTGAAGGAGAATTGACTAGAAAGGCTGATGAACTAGCATCAATTGCTGAAACGGATTCCAAAATTCAGAATGCACCAAAATCAGGTAATTAAAGTTGAATTAAAGGGACTTTGTAAATTAATTTTGGCAGAATTTAAAACTTAGTTTTTTGGTATATTTGTCTTCCAGTGAGTGGATCCTCCGCTAAACAAAACTCAAACGGCCGACCACGTAAAACGGCTGCCACAGATACCGTCCGTGCTCTTGATGAAGTACTGGGTCAACTCGATCAAGTGGATGCTGATTTTCAGGATCAGGGCGCTGATACTTCAGAAAATCAGCCAATTCTGAACACTGAACAACAAGGTCAAGGTGGTAAAGACTACGAAGGTACGGTATGTTTTTTACGATGATTTTATCACAGCATTAACCAATTTTATATATGTTTAATATAGAAAAATATCGATCTCTCAAACGGAAATACAAGGACCTGAAGAAGACGTACAAATCTCTACAACAGTCAACTAGCACCGAGGCAGAGGTAAATAAAAGCTACTAATACTTATTTGTTTCACCTTAATATTTTCCCAATTAATTAATTTCTCTCAATCTGCAGATAGAAATTTATCCGGGCAGTGGTGTCACAATGAATGCAGGAGAATTAGCCTCAATCAAATTGGTGTCCAATGAACCCACCGTTACCGCTCGTAATTTGTTTCGTCGACTCTTTACCGTGGAGGAACTTTCGACGCATTCATTATTTGGGAAAAAGTGTAACGCTAACAAGGATGCAGTTCCTCTTTCTCGAATTGATCAAGTGCGGTCAAACGCTGTAATCGGTAGGAAAAAATAAAATACGTACGACTAAGTTTTATTGCATATTTTTAAATACTTTTAATTAATTATAGGTTATATCTTCAACGAAGCTGGACTAGATGGACCTCCGCCTGCTGATTTAACTGCATCAGAGCAAAAAAGTTACTCAAAAAAGAAGAAAGCCCTTCGAAGAGAAGTTATCAAATCTCTTTCAGAGTTTCTCCGCGCGGAGGCTCGTAAAATTAGTCCATGATTTCTTTAGAAATAATTGTTAGCATATTTACTTTTGCAGAAGATTGCTAATAAAATGAAAATAGCTTCGAATGCGATACGAAAAGACTTTTTCAATATTTATGCATAACTAAACAGCATTTAACTGCATTGAGATTTGTACAGAACCGTATGTGTATAAAATGTGTGCATACAGTATTGTGCATAAAGGAGTATGCGCTCCAAGATTGTGCATGACGGATTGTGCATAAAATTGGGTCAATTTGCGACATAAGTTTTATGCATAAGTTGACATAAACTTTATGCATAAATAAGTTAGATATTTTCACCAGGGGTGGTACAAAATGCGAGGTGCGAAATTGTTTTTTACCGTCTACTCGACAGTATTAATTGTTTCACTCGTCGGGAAGACTTCTTCCCTTGAAAACTTGAGTCTGACTCAAGCAGAGAAACAAAAATTGGACCAGGTATAAAATTTTAATTTACGGTTAAATATGACATGTTTTTTTTTAGAAATTGTTACAAAATTATTCAATTTCAGTTGAAAGATGCCGTTTCCAAAATTAACTTTCCCGTGGATTGGATGCAACAGGAATTGACTTTCGTTCGGTATCTAAGAGGTTAAGCAAATTCTAAGAACGTTAATGAAACAAATTTTGCGTAGCCCGAGCCAGGAATTGTGTCTGTATCTGACCCAAGTCTAATTGACTAAATATGGATACATACATCTGCCAGAAAATATTTTCTACCCAAATTTCGGATCAAGTCCTTAAACTTATTTAAAATAATGATGTATTCAAAACCAAATATTTTTATTCATTTGGCACAGCCTGAGTTTCCGCAGAATTGCAACTCATGTTTGAACTGGATTCCGAATTTGTCATTGTTTCGGTGCATACAGAATTTAAAGTCGATAAGAAAAGATGTACTAAAATTATCCAAAGCCAGATGAACAGACAGATACACACTGACAAAATGCCAAGATAAGGCATTGGTCGGGCTAAAATTGTATTTCCTGTAGTTGCATCCATTAGTTGTAATAATATCAGGTAAATCTCACAATGGAACCTTTTTTCAAGCTACACCGGGATTGACTAACGAGTTATGTCAAAAAATCAAGCCAAAAATTAACACTCATATGGCGCTTATCGTTCCGTTGAATGGCCCCTTTGAAGAAAAATATTGGCGGCAAAGTTTAATTTTTTATTAATATTTCTCTCCCTTTTTCTCCACGAGGCGAAAACCCACGGCGCTCGTGGGTACTTTGACCCCAAATATTTTTCTTCAATGGGGCCATTCAACGGAACAATAAGCGCCATATGAGTGCTAATTTTTGGCTTAATTTTTTGACATAGCTCGTTAGTCAGTCCCGGTGTAGCTTGAAAAAAGGTTCCATTGTCAGTATATGTACTAATCTCATCATATTTTAGCTCGAGAATGGGACGTCCGACGGGCTAAGAGTATGTTGCTTGAGGTACTACATAAAATGATTAATTATTATTAACTTATACACAATAAAAATGTACCTGTGTGACTGCCACGGAAATTTTGATATTCTAGATAAACCAATCGCCTAATTGAAATATACTACACTAGTGTATAAGCCCGTCTCCCAGCGGGCGAGCGAGAATTATCAGACAACTATTCCTTGATAACAACCGACGATAACCACCCCAAATAACTCCCATCTGGCTCTTAATTTTTGAATTTTGAATTTGTTTTGAATTTTCGCGCCACTCGAAACTTAACTTTTCCCACTTTCATTTCCGTTGCAGACAAACATTTCAAGCTTATAATATAGATATTTATATCTGCAAATTACATATATCTGTTACCTTACAGACCGTCGCCTGGTGGGAGGAGAACAAGATGAAAGACATTCACAAGGAAGATTGGTCAGATATTGAGAAAGACTATCCTCTCCACACGGACGGTGTCGATAAGCTTGGACAACCCGGTGAGTACACTTAAGTAAAGTTGTGGAAAATTTGTCCAAGATTGAATATGTAAAAAAAGAGGATGAATTATTGTGTCATCCCCTTTTTCACTCAACCTTGGATTTCAACAATTTTCCCCAATTTTGACTCAAAGTGTAGTGTATTCAAATATTAGACCTGACTCATTTCTAGTCAAGAATTTAATTTGAAGTTTTAAACCTCAGCACCGAAAACGCCTTACTAACCAGAGACATGACATTATTCATTTAAAGAGTAAAAAAAATTATTTATTCAAAATTCAAGCACGTCGTGAATATTTATCGAGTGTTTTTTTTTAATTTGTAAACGAATTAATAGTGATTACATAGTTATTCATATCATTTTCATGAGAAATGAATGAATATTTGTGTTCGTTACTAACGCTTCACGATCTGCTTCATTTGTGTAGTAGGCGTATTCAGAAATTTTTCCCAATTTACAACTTTAATAAATTTTGAATTAAGAAATATTTTGGAACTAGGTTAATTTTTCCGCTTAAATGTTAACCCTCCCCGATATCTAATTTTCAGTAATGGTAATGGCTTACGCTGAGTGGGATCTTCGCCAGGCAGCAGTTCAAGGCAAGATTACCCGGGTAATCCGCTGGTTCATTAAAGGATTTGATGAAATTCATTCGAAATCCCTGGAATATCGTAAACTCGGCAAGACGAACGGAACCCAGTGGAATTTTATTGCCGACGTGGACAAATTTTCTCGTCAACAGCACATCTGTGTCCAATGTCTCAGATTTTACACGGAACTCGCCGTCTCATTCGAATCTCGCTACCCGGGAGGGGTTGATAAGATTTATGCTGTGAACAGTAAGTCACAATGAAAATGTATTAAAGGCCGTCCATGAATTATGTCACGGGAGAGGGGGGGGAGTGGGGTTCAAGGGTACAATAGGCCATACCGTGACACAGGTGGAAGCGTGATGCGAATTATACACGCATAACAAAATTTATGCATGTCCCCTCAGCGGTAGATCTATGGCTTGATTTTTAAAGTAGGATTTTTTCAAGGAGACTTTTTTACATGCAATACTTACGGCGAACAGCTTATTTGACATTTTTACCACCAAGATAATCAAAATTATTCAAAAGTGTACCAATAACAAGTCAAACTTTTAGCAAATTTTAAAATTCGTCATGCAGATGACGAATATGAATTTCAATTATGATAGAATTAATTATTGTAGAAGTTAGTTCTTTCTATTTATAACTAAATATATATATGGACCTGCATAGTTTTTAATTTTAAAAACGATTTTTTCCGGGTTTTTTTCCAATTTTTCCCTCCTGTCCTGGTAAAAATAGTTTTCAACGGAAAAATAGAAACCCTGAATATAAACATTTTTCGTAAAGGTAGCATAATCTTTAAGAGTGTAAACCTTTTTTAGCGCCCTCAATATTCCAAGTCGTTCTCTCCCTGGTAAATCCAATCTTGTCAAAAGGTACTCTGAATGCTTTGCGAGTGCTCGGAACCAACAAGGAGTAATGGCGTCAAACCTTATTCGCTGACTTTGCAAAAGATCAACTTCCAGAAAACTTGGGAGGGACGAGAAACTATTCGCCAGCGTGGAACGAAATATTATAAATTTTGTTTACATATGTATGTACATGTAACAAAACGATGAAAATAAGTTTCCGTACTAATTTACAAACATTTACATTTTGAAATTAATACGGCAAGCGAATTGATTACGACATAAGAAAAAGTAAAGAATAAAAAAGTTTTAATTGATTTTAAAATAAATAAACGCCCAAATTTTCAAAAAATACGTATATATGCACATATGTGAAATATTTGTGCTGCATTGCACTGCTGCCTTAAGAATAGCCCATGGAATATTTGTATTTAGAAAAAAACTTGGGGGTTTATGTTTGTATATTTGTTTGAAGATTCGAAGTACTGATGCCGTATGGAGTTTTTAGGAAATTGATTGATCATTTTGAACAAATTTAAAGTATGTTTAATCACTGCTACATTAATTGAGCTTGCATCGATCTCCAGCCTGAGGAACCGCAATGGAGTTTTCTGTGGAAGATAGAGAAATAAGAATATTTCAATAAATCATGCGTAATAACATGAAAACTCTTCCATCGGCCAAAGAGTATCTATTTATCCAGTTATTTATCTAACTTATTTCCCATTCATGGACATGAACTGGGGGCATAAACTGCGGATAATGAAACATATCCACGTATGACGCGTCAAGATATGAATTTTACGGAAATGAAACGTGGGGAATCTAACGTTGTAGAATGAGGTGTGCCGTGTGGGGTATGAATTCCCGGACACCAGGGAGTTAGACTAATAAATAATTTTGGGTTACACTTTTTTGTTCAATGGCAGCCCTGTAATTTTCATCCATCAAGCAAAAGTAAGGTTCACTGCTAAACCTGTATAATTTTTTGTTTGCTTAATAATACAATGATAAAATAACAATACGAAGTGTACAATTGATTAATCGAATTCGTCCCCAAATCATGATGAATCTGTCATGAACAATAAATGCATGTAAATACAATTTGCTTGTCAATACCTCTCAAACATAAATATTCACAATCCATATAGTCAGATTGTTTCTAATTAGTTCAATGATAAAGCCATGGTTAATTTATTTATATATTTATGCAATATCATATTTATTTCTCTGATTGCTTGGTTAGTTTATTTTGTATCGCATTTCATAAACAAATTGTTGGCTAATTAACATATGTTAAATTATATGTAAATTAGCAAAGAAACTGTTACTTCAGGTTTTCTTACTAAATCCAATAATATTCACTCATTTTTCAATATCTCATTCCCCACCGGCGAATAGTTTCTCGTCCATCCCAAGTATTCGGGAAGTTGGTCTTTTGCAAAATGAGAGTACACAGCTTTGCCCCATTCCTCCATGTTCGTTTCGAGCACTTGGATAGCATTCACAGTACTTTTCGACAAGACGGGATTAGCAACGCCGAGAATGACTTGGAAAATTGAAGGGGCTGCAAAAAGTTTTTTAAGCTTACTAAACCATACCTGTTCACCATCATTCATGTGATTGGCTATGATGGATAGAGAATAATAATGAATGATAATGAATTTCCTGTGACTTGAATGAAAATGAGTGAAAGACTCAGTCATTTCCGAGGAGTAATTCTGAATGAAAAGATTTCTTACTTCTTTCATTTCTCACCAAATGCTTAATGCATTGGAAGAAGTAAGAAATGAAGGCAAATAAAGTGAAATGAAATGAGTTTGGAAGAAAATGACAAAACAGTGTGAATGAAAATGTTCCGCCAGAAATCGGGATGATTGAAGTTTGAATGAAAAAAGTTTTGTTGAACAGGTATCAACTAAACACATTCCGGAAGTATTCTACACTCTTAGAAATCAAATATTAAAATAATACCAGGCTGTATATTTTCGGAAAGTGCAAGCAAATTTGACAGATCCACTTGTTTATAGTCAACACCGGAAATAACTGAATGAATGTATACACTTACCATTCACGATAAAAATCTTGTCAACCGCTCCCGGATAACGGGACTCGAAAGTGAGGCCGAGTTCGGTGTATAAACGGAGGCACTGGATGCAGAGGTGCTGTTGGCGCAAGAATTTGTCCATGTCCCCGATGAAATTCTACTGGGTTCCGTTCGTCTTGCCGAGTTTGCGGTATTCGAAAGATTTCAAGTGAGCGTCATCCAATCCTTTAATGAACCAACGGATTACGCGGGTCAGCCTGCCCTGGACTGCGGCCCCGCGAAGATCCCACTCACCGAAAGGAACAACGATTGCTAGAAATAAAATGTTGGGAACGGTGAAGATGTAAAAATGTATTTAGGGTAGGGTTGATCGTACAATCTAAACAATTTAATAATCGGATTATCACTGACCGGTGACTGGAGATATGTGACGATAAACGATTAACTTTAGTTTAGAAATTTGCAACTACATATGAACTTTAACCCGGAAATTTTTCCTCAAAGGGTCCATTCAGCGGAAAGATAAATTCATTATTTTTGGATTTTTATAACTCGGTTTGGCAAACCTTTGTGCTTCTCACAATGAGGATTTGTGAAATCGTTATCGCCGATATCCAGCGGACTAATTTTAAGTTGTTAACGCTCAAAAATAAGTGGACCCGTATTTTTTCGTTTTTTTGAATGGGCATGTTTACACCCTTGGAGGAATTTACAAAAAAAAAATCAGCCAAAATTTGGATTTTTAGAAACGCTGTAACTTTTCGAATTTTAAACCGATTTAAAAAATTAAACCCAATTTGTGTTCAGAATTACAACCCTGAAAATATAAAAATAAAATGTAATTAACTAAAATTAAAAGACTTTTAATTTTCAAAAAATTATCGTTTTCTGGGTTTATAAAAATTCAGAATGAAAATATCACATTTTTGAAATTTTTAAAAATGAATTTTTATATTTTCAGGGATGTAATTTTGAACACAAATTGTGTTTAATTTTTGAAATCGGGTTAAAATTCGAAAAGTTACAGCTTTTTTTAAAATCCGAATTTTGGCTGAAATTTTTTGTGAAAATTCCTCCATGTGCGTAAACATGCCCATTCAGAAAAACGAAAAAATACAGGTGCACTTATTTTTGAGCGTGAACAATTTAAAATTAGTCCGGTGGATATCTGCGATAACCACCTCACACCATCGCATTGTCAGTCCGAAATGTATAAATTGTTCGATAGATCTTCATGTATTTAATATCGTTTCATTTAGTTTCAGTGTACCGCAAACGCTAAAAATCCTTCTCACCTGGTTGTCCAAGCTTATCGACGCCGTCCGTGCGGAGGGGATAGTCTTTCTCTATATCGGACCAATCTTCTTTATGAATGTCTTTCATGTTCTCCTCCCACCAGGTGACCGTCTGCAGTTGTTGGGTCCGAGACATTTAATATTCTCACTGTGAGGTCTGCATCAAAGGTAATAAACCGTTGTAATGTTAGAAATAGCTCGCCCTGAGACATAATTTGAAGATAACTTCGCACCGAAGGTGCAAAACAATCGGACAAATTAGATACATAATTTTGACACAATTTTGCACCAATGGTGCACAACAATTGCCGCAAATACATATATGCATCATATTTATGTATTTATATAATTTGGCACCAATGGTGAAAAATAAGCGGACAAAATAGACCCATAAATTTGACATAATTTCGACTTTTTCTTTCCCTAGCGTGGGAACGTATTCCTACCGGTTATTCTGCACTTTTAGTGCGTATTGCATCAATTCCCCCAATTGCTTGGCACCATTTTGTGTCATCACTTATTTGGGACGAATGGAGCCATTAATATCCTAAAAAATGGACATGGTCCTATTTAATTAGCATCAGTTGATGCAAAAAACTCATTAACAGACAGACGGACAGACGAACAGACAGACGGACAGGAGGGACAAACCGTAGTAACGTTAGAAGTAGCTCACCCTGTAATAATGATTTGGTTGTAACTTGCCCCCAAGGTGCAGAAAAATGCAACAAAATAGATACATAATTATTTGGCAATTATGCACCAATGGTGCAGAAAAATCCAACAAAGTGGATCAATAATTTTTATGCAATGTTGCACCAATGGTGCAGCAAAATTAAACAAAATAGATCAATAATTATTATCCTTCGAGAAGAGTCCAAAAATTGTGCATCACTGGTGCAGAATTACCTACCAACGATCAACGATAATTTTGAAAAATTTATGTGAAAATTGTATGATCATTTCTCCCGGATATTCTGCATTATTGGTGCGTTTTCCGTCCCTGCCTCCAATTATTTCGCATCATTTTGTGTTCTCGATTGTTAGATATCAATGGTCCTATTAACTTGTTAAAAAATTTGATTCGGTTTGTTTAGTACCAATGGTGCGCCTAACGTATCCAATAATGGTCAAGGGGCTGTTTAATTAGCATCAATTGATGCAAAAAGGTCGTTAACAGACAGACAGACAGACAGACGGACAGACAGACAGACAGACGGACAGACAGACAGACGGACAAGAGGAATTCAATAGCTCTCATGCTACGCAGGGCGAGCTAATAAAGGTACCTAAACCTGAGCAACACAATAAATATGAATTATATTTTTTTATATTTCATTACAAATTTCGAATTTTATATATTTCAAAACATAGGCGAATAGCCTTTAGTCGGATTCCGTCTTCTAGTCCTTCCATGGATAATCTACACTCCCAAAGAAGTTCCAACATACGAGGTGGAGGAGGTTGAGGTGAGTGAGATGCATCCTGGACAAATCCATTCTTGTTCGGGGATGACAAGAACTCGGAAATCGGAACAAGAAATAGGAACGGGGCAACGAACGTCATTTGTGGCAGCCATGTTCACATACGTTTTACATTACTGACTTTACCCACTCAAAAATTTCCATGATTTTTTTCAAAAATATTTTTTTTTATTTTTTACATTTTTTTATGTTTTAAAACTTTAGATAATTTTCATGCTTATGTACGATGTTGGTATATGTATTTATTCATATTTAGATGTTCCAAAAAATTCTTGTAGCAATATGGGCTGCGGCCACGGTGTGGGCAATTAAATTATCTAACTAATAGATTGATTGAACTAATACGAAAATGAAATTATTTTGAAAAATTCCACATATCGGAGGATTAAGGTCAAAAATCGAGGCGGCGGCTGAATTCTAATCCAAAATAATACTTAAAATTATTTGCAGTAATATTTCACAACATTTGATTTCTTGAGACAAAAGTAAAATTTGTATAAGATAGGCAGCACAATTTTTAAGAGAGTAATTCTGTAACATAACCACATAAAAATGTCGTTATCTCAGACATTTAAGGAAATACTTAATCAAAATATTCCGATTCCATAAAAGTACCTCAACGTGACCAATCAAACTTGCACATTACGCGTGTACACTTGAGCCGGTTTATTACACATTTCACGAAAAAGTAGAGGTAATAAGGACGTTGTAAATAAATGTATTTTCTCATTGCTAGTATGTAAACCTGTTGAAACACTTTGCCCTACCGCGGTATGCATAATTCCATAAAGCAGTCACATTTAAATTTTATGTTTCCTTAAAGGGTGCAAAAACGTGCCCAAGAAATAGTTGTTCTTTCTAATGCAGACCAATTGTTCGAAGAAATATGTCCATAGAATACTAATCCAAAAATTAATTTTCATTTAAAATTCATTCATTGGAAAACACTTATTCATTTATTCACAAATTGAAGATAATTATTCATTAATCATATTTTATTAATTTTATCTCAAACTCGCCTTTATTTGATGGATTTCTCTAAATATGTACCCATGTGCTAAGCCTTGGGTGTAAAATGGGTAATATGATTCGTTCTTTTTTCATTTACATAGTTAATTGAATATGAAATAAATAAATATTTTGTAAATATTCATTCATTTAAAACTGTTTTCAAACATCACATATTTCTTTGAACAAGGAATGAATGATTTATTAATTGTGTCTTGAACAAATCAAGGTGACCAGTTCTGATCAGAATGCAATTTAGAAACCCTGTCGCATCGAAAAATATTTTTGGTACACTTCTTCCGAGACATTAAATCTATTAGTCTGAATTAGATGTAATAAAAGTACTTATGTAAGTCCGACCAAGACAACATACATGCTACATAGATAAAGTTGAACCAGTTTATGTCACATTTTTTTGCTGCGTAAAAATGCAAGGCTATATAACAGGAACGGATTTTCTTCTTTAGTCGGATTATATAGATCTTCCAGTCCGGTAGAGTTGCAATCACCTTAGAATCCTTTAGGATCTAAGTACACATTCGTTCCTTTAAGCAGGATGGATTGTGCGAAATTGTTTCTTACTGTCTGCACGACAATAGTAATTGTCTCACTACTTGGGAAAACTTTCTCCCTTGAAAATTTGAGTCTAACTCAAGCAGAGAAACATAAATTGGACCAGGTAAAAAACGATTTCATTTAACAATTATGTATGTAAAAAATTTTCAAAGCTTGTCTACCCAGTTTGTTCCGAATTTCAGTTTAAAGAAGCCGTTTCAAAAATCAACTTTCCGGCTGAGTGGATGCCACAGGAATTGACTCTGGTTCGATATCTGAGAGGTGAAGCAATTGCTAAATATGTAAATATCTAAGACAATCGTTGGTGGGCCCGAGACAAGATTTGCGACAGTTTTTGGACTTCGAATTTCCCTATAAAAATCTCACAAACTAATTGGTATAACTCGAATTAAATTCTTGCATACCGCCATGTTTAGCTACGAATTACGTGTCTGGCGGCTTCTTTTCGGAGTATTTTTTTCTCCAACCCATTTTCGAACTTAATTCCTAACTCGTCATATTTCATTATATAATTTCAACTCGGTAGAATTTTTTTACGAGTTATTGATAATCAGACTGACAGACGAAAGGCAAGGGTACGTAAGGTCCTGGTCGGGCAAAAACTTCGCTGCTGTCATTCATACGTACATAGATTAGTTAAATTGCTTTCATTTTTTAGCTCGACAATGGGACGTTCAACGCGCTAAGAGTATGCTGCAAGAGGTACATATTTACATACATGCATAATTACACACGTGACCCGTATAAGACTTTGAATAGAAAGTTTTCTGGAGCAAAATTTAAACTTTTACAGAATCCATGCAATCCGGCAAACAGGATTGTGCAGAATCTTTGAGAACTTTTGCACACGAGTTCATTGCAGAGTTTTATTCAGTATCTTAATAATTGGTGTGAATTTTTGAAAAAGTAAATTAAACCCGTTTCCCTACAGACGGTCGCCTGGTGGGAGGAGAATAACATGAAAGACATTCACAATGAAGATTGGGCAGATGTTGAGAAAGATTATCCACACCACACGGACGGTGTCGATAAGTTTGGACAGCCCGGTTAGTAGAATTTTAAATGTTTTAACTTAAAAAAATGGTCGATGAAGTAATTGATTACCTCCCTTTGAGCCCATTCAGTTAAAAAATCTCTTACCAATATAAGACCCATTACTGCTCAAATTCATTTAGAGATTGAAAAAAAATTATTCACTCACTTTTCAACTTATTCATGCGTACAAAATAGGTGGGGAATTTGTTGAAAATCTTTTAAAAAAGTTAATATTGAATATATTTATATTATGTACTACTATGTATGTATTATGTCCCTTCATTTCACATGCATTAGGAATGAATGAGTAATTTTATTTTTCATTTTTCATCCCTTAGCTAATACATAAACGTGGAATGTAGAGAAATCAACATTATAATGGAAACTTGAAAAAAATAAACATGAATAACGAGTATTGAGTACAGAAGTATTACTTTTCAAATTTTGAATAAACGAGCCATGATTTTTTAAATTTTTAAATTGAATGAATTTTGAATGAAGATAATAATTTTTGAACAGGTATACACAAGTCTTTACGTAATATTTAAATGTTTCGCTCTTCCAAATTTTATCTTTAGCATTTGTCTTTTCTCTCGCGGAGTGGGATCTTCGTGGGGCAGCAGTCACGGGCAGGCTGACCCGCGTAATCCGTTGGTTCCTTAAAGGATTTGACGAAGTTCACTTAAAATCCTTCGAACTTTACAAACTCGGAAGATCTAACGGAACCCAGCTGGACGTTATTGCGGACATGGACACAATCTCGCGCCAACAGCACCTCTGCATTCAGTGCCTCCGTTTTTACACCGAACTCGCACTCATTCTCGAGTCCCGCTATCCGGGAGTGCTTGACAAAATGTTCGTTGTCAATTGTAAGTCAATGCAATCACTATTTAGAATTGTGTTATTTCTGGTGGTGACAATGGTCTGAGTATTAAACTAACTGGTCGGGATTTTTACGGAAATCGTTGTAATCGTGTCGGACGAAGTCAGAAAGTTGTTTTGGATGTAAAATCTCTGTCTCGCCATCCTCTCCGTCGGCAAGGAAGGCAATTTTTCCCAGTTGAGAATCATATCGAATTGCAAAATCACGTGTTCGATGTAACGCCACGTTTCGACTAACACATAGCCAGACAAGGTCACGGAATTTATCAATTGACCAATCATCCAAAGACTGCTTCACTCCAGAGGGAAAATCTTTTCAAATTCATAATAAGTAACATTTATTATGGATAATCACGCTGACGAAATAAATCCTTGCTTTTTTTTACTGAGAAAGGTTACGTAAATATGTACTCTCCATTCACGCACGGTTGAGCATTTGCAAAAACTAAGAATTCTGAGAACCTATGCCACTGTAAGTCTCAAATCATCTAGTTATATGTAAATCTCCTCTTTGCGTTTTGAAGTCGTGCATTTATTTTGTCCATCCCTCCATCTACTTCATCATCACAAATATGAACATGCAGCCTGCTTAGTTTATAAAACTTATCAACTCAAAGCTCTCTAATTTCATAATGATAAGGTGCTAAGCAAAGGCAGTAAAAATTCACTGAACATGACTTTTTATCTCAAAGTGATAAAATCACAGCTTTAGGTTATGTATATGTAAATACATGCAAATAATTCCAGAACATAAATTTGCTCGGTTTTATATCTGTATTTATGCAATGATAAGGTTAGGATTGGTCTGTCTGCCACTGATTGTACATAATTACCACCAATAAATTGATGCGTCGCAGCATAATGCAATGGTCAAAGGTGGCAGAGATAAGTATTTATTTGCTTCTGGAAAAACACGAACTAAATCCAGCCCAATTTAATTATTTACACATCTACATACGCCACTGATAAACTAGTACTATCGAAGCCAGCTTTAGCTCTGCATTGCATAATGAGTTATATAATTTGCACACGAATAACGACGACATGCTTGCACATGTTAAAAAATTTGGTAAAATTACATATTTATGTACACTATTAAATACAAATAACTAAACTTTATTCTAGGTTAAGTAAAAAAGAGCGTCAGGCATCAATTTCGTAAAATTTGTCCCAAATTCATGTAAAATTCTTCGGGCAAATTTGATACTCAAAAAATTGTATTCTTCTTCTTTTAATCTTCACACCATAAACAGCTACTTTGTCTTTCTCCCTAAAACCATTGATGAATCCGGTATCGAATATTTCAAATTCAATAGGAGTGTTGACCTGGGAGGGATTATATTGCAATTTGTAAGGCAAGTACCCCAGATTTATTGCTGCTTCAGCGCCAAGCTCCGTACTTAACGACCACCCCTCGTGTACTTATTTACCTAGTTATTACCGGGCTGGTCGAGGCATACATTAATATATTTAATCCGGCCAATAATAATTTAATAATTTAAAGAAGAATTCTCGGATGACATGGTTGAAGGAAGAAATTGAATTTATTTCCCAAGCTTTCGGCACGGAACTCGTGTCATCATCAGGTACAAAATATTTGGAAATTAAAACACGATATGTCACATACATGAGAGTTACATTCATTTGTTGTTTATAATTGTTGGCACGGGTGTTTGATGAGTGGCAGCATTAAAGATGACCAAATTGGATTCAGTTGTTTTCCGTTGTCCTGATTTATGGCGTTGGGACATTTTCTGATATATAAACTTTCAAGAAATTTTCTATGAATAATATTTAATAATAATTTAATACTAGTTTTCTAAGAGTGCATAAATGCGTCAAGGTTTCACTGAAATTTTATTCATTTCTGGATTATCCGGGATTACTTATGCCTGATTGAATTTGGAAATCCAACCATAAACCTTGGCAGTTGAATCCATTGATTTATTTCATCTCGTCCTATTTAACGAGAAATTGCAGCCAGATCTATGTCCATACGAAAAGTAGAGTGACAACGTAACCCTAAATATGGCGACCCAAAAAGTTAAAGAATTAGCTGGTAGAGTTATCATCACAACTGCTCACATTAACATTCGTTCATTCCTTATTTAATAAATTCTTGAATCACGAATAAATATATTTTTTTAATTAGTGAAGTATTTAAAACTTCTATATTCATTTCCTGTTCATTAAGAATGGTGAATGATTTTTTTCCGTTTTCACATCCTTAACCTTTTAAAACGTATGGAGGCTTTTTGGCCTCCTTGGAAACATTGCGTTGCTGCGGGAGGAAGTCTTTTAGCCTCCTAAAATTTTCGGGCTTACTGCGGGAGGAGGTCAATAAACCTCCACAAATTTGCAGCTATGGTGCGGGAGGAGGTCTTTTAGCCTCCACCCAAATTTTTTCTCCACTGCGGGAGGAGGTCAATAGACCTCGTTAAAAAAATTTTTCGCTCTTCATAACTCATAATAATATTTTATATAATAAAATAATTACTAGTTATTTGATCAAATTTGCACAAAAAAACACTCGAATACAAAATTGTGCACGTGTTGAATTTCTACCATAACATTGCAAAAGATTTAAATGAGCAAAAATTTATTTTAAAATACTCCAAAAAACCCTTCCCACAGTAACCGTCTATTTAGCGTCCCTCCCTTCACAAAACTAGATTTTGTTTTTGGAAATTGACTCCCGAATCATAACCCAATAAGCACAGTAAATCTCCGGCGGTAACGTTTTGGTCACGTCATTATACACACGTTTTAAAAGGTTAATTCGTGGCGAAAAGTCCAATCAGATAAAATGAATAATATTTAAATACTTTAAAATTTTCCATGGTTGAATAACGAACAAATAATTTTTAACAATTTTTAAATTTACTGAATTTTAAATGAAAAACAGTTTTGTTCAACAGATACCGTTATCATCATCCTTCTCATCGCTGTACTTGCCGTTGCTGGACAGAAAGATGCGGGTCGACTCGTGCTCTCGAACAGGGACGATTTTCTTACCTATTTTGACACCGATGTTCATTGGGATGTCATTAATTCCAGTCCTGCCGGGGGATGCCGGTCGAGCCGGGGGGCTGAGTATTTTTACTTAACGAGATTTGGCGGACAGGATGACGACGTGGGCGGGGAGGTTGAACCGTTTTCGTTCGTGTTCAACATTCGGAAGCATATCTGCGGCCTGAGCTATCTCACGATGTCGATCCGCTATTGCAATTTGGACACGAAGAGTGCCGTTGGACCGACGCCAATTCCTGGGAGGAGAGACCTCGGCGTGGACTACCATGTTTTAAAATCGCATAAGTTTTTTGCCTAGGATTACGAGGAGCAGATCATGCTGAATCACGCGGAAGGAACGGTGAGATGGGTTTACATAAAATGCACGTTAGAGGTGGCACAATATTTTTTAGACAAGTATCGAAATGTTAATTTTTTTAAATATTGGAACAGATTAAGTTGAACGGATCCCTCTACTTGGACAGTTCCTTGTATATTGATGAGATAATTTTGTGTCATGATGGGCACTACGATTGTTCAACTACGACCGAGCCAACCACTACACCAACTACAACACCACCTCCATATGGTAAGATTAATTCCAACCCTAGGGACCGTCCATATACTGCGCCAGCAAAAAATATGCGGCCTTTTAAACCACCACCCATCACTTTCCTATCCTGCTCATGTTAATCTAACCAAGAGCAAGATAGGCGGCCCAAGATCCCCCCTTTTTTTGATGACGTAATGTATACACGTTCCTATATGAGTCATTAGTAAATGCATATTTCTACATTCTACTTTCCACATATTTCTGCAGCCAACAATTGCAATCAGTACTCCACCTCGATGACGACCTGTCTTTCAATGGAGTGTTCGTTCTGCACGCTCTCAACCTACACGCAATTCCGATGTGACACTTACGAAAATTTGGAGCTCTACGGATGTCTGGGTGGCGCCTGTGGTGCGCCCGCCATCCATGTCTCAATCGACCCCAGCCTGCCCACTCCACCCGTGCAAACTTTGACACTCTGCCAAAATGAGAGTAAAACCTTCGAGGTCACGTTCAATTTGGAATTTCACCCTCTCGATGTTTACGTCTTGCTTGACTTGTCCGGATCCATGTCGGACGACAGGGAAAATCTTATCCGTCTTAGCACCCAGCTGGTCACATCGGTGCAAGCAATGACGACCGATTACCAGCTAGGCTACGGGGCACACGTGGACAAACCACTCTCTCCATTCGGTGGCTATGGCGAGTAAGATAAAAAACACTAAGAAGGGAAGTCTCCCAGCGTATGCTCTCTGATTTTGACCCAATTACATAGCCACACGTGTAATTAATTTGAAATTTGCCAAAGGCACGATTCCCCCAAGGACTGAGATATTTGCATTCGAAAAGGAGAAAACGAGTGATAAATTTTAAAAGTGCCAAATTTTTCAACTCTACTGCGTGTTTTCCCCTATGTGGGTGAAAAGACGTCGGCCCAATGCGAAATTGTGTCGCTTGCGAATTTCATACTAATAAATTTAGTGATAATAAAAATCTTAAAGCATAAGCTGGTTTAATTAATATTAAGTATAAATTAATATTAAGTATAAATTAATCTTTACATCTTGATTTCCCAACTGCACAGCTACAGCTTCCAGAATTTCCTACCTCTCACCAAGAATGCTGACGAGTTTAGATCAGCTGTCCCCGCAAGTAGTATCAAGTACGGGATGGATGGGCCTGACTAGGGGTACCTTTTACCTGATAGGCGAAAAATGAGTTCTAATTTAACTTTTTGCATACATCATACTATGTTTCAAGCGTAAACTGCAAAATTTTTTCTGAAAATTCAATTCGCGAATTTTTTATTAGGCTCCGAAGATTGCGAAATAATGGGTGAAGGAGCAGGGGAGTGGGAGTGGAGGGCCGCCCTCCGAGGGCGAGGCTGACCGAGCTCGCGAGGTCAACTCTCCCATGCTCACTCCACCTCTTCACTCGTCACCCTCCGTTTGCATTTCTCCAAATAAATTTCAGCATTTCAATTGTGATTCACATTACCCAACCACTCACCAATAATTCAAAGTTTTTTAGCGCTGTAATTTTCTCTCATTATTATTGTCTAATTGTAAAAATAAATATGGCTACAATTATTAAAGTGTGTGAATCGTTATTAGAGTTAGCAAAATTAAAATACCCTGTTCCTGATACATCTTTAGTAGAAGATAGTTTTAACTTGGATCAGTTAGCTAGTGAAGCACTTGTGTTAATTGAAAATTTATTGAATCCTGACAGCAGTGAACGTGAAACAGTTATTTCATTAGATATTGATTGTGACGATGAAATTGATATTTATGAAATGAAGACGTTCCTGCAAGTGAAAACGACGCTAATTCACGTGAATCAGGTCTCGCATCATCCCAAGAATGGCAGGTCGAAAAAATCGGGCAAGAAGAATACAATCTTGAAGAAATGATAAAGATCGTGAATTTTTATAACAATGTTAAAACCAACAAATTGTTTCAAACCCAGCGACGTTTCCCAAAAGTTAGAAGTTATGCGTCAATCTCTCGGATGAAAACGTATGTTGATCAGAATGGTAAAAAGCTGGAGAAATTAAGTAAAGTGGAAACTTTTGTCAAGGAGAGATTTAATCATGCTAGACAATCTTTAATTCATGTTAGTGAAGTTGATTTAAAGCGTTGGGGAATCATCAAATCCAAAGATTTATCTTTACAATTTAAGGCTAGCTCAACATGGATTCACAACTTTAAGAAAAAAAATCGAATTGTTTCACGCAAAATAACGAAATATTTAACAAAAGCTGAATATGACAATAAAACTAATGTCGAAGAAGCAGCCTACACGTTTGTGGAAAATGTCAACAAAAAACTTATAGGTGTTCAACCAGACCTTGTACTCAATTTTGACCAATCTGGATTTACATATGAATATTCACCGAAGCGGACTTTATCAATTAAAGGAGAGAAGGACACTCTTGGATTGGTTGTTTCGCACAATGCTAACACACATTCGTACACTGTGATGCCATTATTATCCATGAGTGGAAAATTTATCGGAAAATTATTAATTTGCCTCCAGGAACCACAAGGATATTTGGGTCCAATAGTCAAGAAAAATCTCGAGGTTCCATCCAACATTTATTTGGTCGCCTCCAAGTCAGGAAAGTTGGACAAAACTATTATGAAGAAATGGATTACTGATTGCGTTGCTCCATACATCAGTGAAAATAAAGCCATCCTAATTTACGATTCTTGGGCAGGACAAGTTGACGATTTGACCTACGAATCACTTTCAGAACAATGCACAAGGTTCCAAATTCCAGCTAAAGCAACATCCATCATTCAACCATTGGATAAATATATTTTCAGACAATACAAAATATTTCGTCGAAAGATATTTGAAAAAGTAGTCCTAGATTCCATTGATATCGATTTACATAAAAGACAAAACGTAATTAAAATGCAGTCCTTAATGTACAACCAGTTCCAGTCAGCTGCTTTTGAGCCGATGTTCAAATACGCATGGTTTGCATGCAACTATAAGAGTGACCGAGTGAAGTTTAAAAATGTGGCAGAAACATTATTTTCGACTAGTTTTGATGACTGTGAGGAAATGTGCAATAGAGAGACTTTTATCAAATGTGCTCACTGCTCTGTTAATATGTGTTTTCATCACTTTTACATCGATAATCACTTTCATTCGGATGATTCAGATTTGGATGAACTCGCTTCGCTTAATTCAAGTCAATAAATGTAAGTACTTGAAGATTATTATATTATTATTTAAGAAAACATTATTATTGGATTGCTGAAATTTATTTGGAGAAATGCAAACGGAGAGTGACGAGTGAAGGGGTGGAGTGGAGTTGACCTCGCGAGCTCGGTCAGCCTCGCCCTCCTCTCCCACTCGCCCGCTCCTCCACCCATTATTTCGCAATCTTCGGAGCCTAATAAAAAATTCGCGAATTGAATTTTCAGAAAAATTTTTGCAGTTTACGCTTGAAACATAGTATGATGTATGCAAAAAGTTAAATTAGAACTCATTTTTCGCCTATCAGGTAAAAGGTACCCCTAGTGAGAGCCAAATTGACGCCTTATTTCAAGTTGCCGAATGTACGAATCAAATTGGTTGGAGGTCAAATGCTCGTCACCTTTTGCTGCTTTTAACTGACGCCGGCTACCACAAGGCAGGTGAAGGTCTGGTAAGCGATTCGTCACATCTAGGCTTGGTGATATCAGATCAGGCCGTTAACCATAACTGTTCAAAAATCTATTTTTGCTTTAAAAGTCAGTTATGCCGATTGCTGACTGAAGATTTTCATTAAAATTCGGTCTTACTTCACCCCATGTATTGAGCATAGGGTGAAAAGTGAAAGGAGTGCAAAATCCTTTCATTCATACTCATTCAAATGAAATGACGTAATGCTTCAGTAACTTTCATTCATTTGAAAGGAAATGAATTGACAGGAAATTCATTTTCATTCACGATCATATTCAGTCAAATGAATTAAATTGAACAGGTATGCCGTTAAATATCATGCGGATCGGAAATGGTGCGAACCAATTGTTCGGATCGGACCCTTGCATAAATAGTTAATGGCAGTATAAATATACAAAAAATTGATCCATCAATATTATCAGATCCGATAATAAGCTGTACTTCATTGTCACTTAAGAAAATTTTACCCCGCCATTTTCAGCCCTACAATCTCCTCCCATTCAATCGTAGCTGCGCCCTGTCACCCACCGGTCTGTACACGGGAGAGCTTACCTACGACTACCCGTCAGAAGAAGACATTATTTCAATCTTTCACTCCAAAAAGATAACTCCCATCTTCGGCGTAACTAGCGATTCCACCTGGGAATATGAATACTTAAGACAAAACATTCCCAACTCGGCGATCGGAATTTTGAACCGTGATTCCTCCAACGTGGTTAACCTTCTGATCAATCAGTATAACCAGATCGAGCAGAGGACCAAACTCGAACGCATCGGTGGGGACGATGGCAGTCTCAACATTCGCTACTTCTCGTCCTGCAATGGCGGGTCTTTGCAAGAAACCAATGTTTGTGACGAACTTGGACCGGATGGAACAGTCACGTTTACGATTTCCATTAATTTGAAGGATTGCATAGGAACTGGGGGAGAAACGTTGGTCCGAATTGAACCGGAAGGACTTCCAACCGCGTTTCAAGTCGCGTTCAACACCATTTGTGACGACTACTGGGGACGATAATATTTGTTACATTGTCGTTTATATTCTTTTAAAATGTACACGAATATCTTTGAGATATGTAATTATTAGCATTCTATTCTACACTGTTAGACTTTTGGAACCAAAATGCATTCTGAATTCAATATTAAGTAACCTGTACAAAATCCAAAGTAAATTTTCCTCCTTATCAAGTTAATGTTACTCTGGATTTGGTATTGTTTGCTTAATATCAAATTCAAAATGCATTCACTTTTCAGACAGTGGCATTAGTTTAACCTGTTTAAAATTTATTAAACAAACTTTATTCATGCAACTCTCTGATTTCTTAGCAATTTAATTTCATTCAGAGCAGTACTTATTTACATGCATAATCATTGACATATGGGTACATACCGGTTCCTCTTTAGCCTCCTCCTGTGCAAGACGTGTCTCTCTCTCGCTCTGCATCTGGATCCTCTTCCATCTGGGTCGCGGGTGTACCAGGGCAAGTAAAGTGTGTCCCAAGGCTTTTTCGCCATGTGAGCCTCGTCCACTCACTCCTCCCACCTGCGTGCCTGGTGACACCCCCTGCCACACCCGTCCCAGCAACGACAAGCTGAGCCATCAGGCGAAGATGGATCTCGTCGGACCCTGTGCACTGGAGGATCTACGCTTTGGAGGAGCTCCCCCAGGTAAGACCTTTGATATGTTGGGGTGGTGAGCATGTGGGAGTGGTCGACGGAAGAGTGAGTGTGCGCAGTGCTGGTGGGGGCGGCTGGAGTAGGTCTACGGGGTTCCCATGACCTAGTCATGTGCTGCGGTGGGAGAGGTTAGTTTGTGGGGTGTTTCATGGCCCCTTTATGGGGTCACTTAGGCCGAACCCTGATGGGTCATTGGTTAGTTTGTGGTCCATGGACGCTCCGCTCCAGCCCAGAACCCGTCGTGTCTCCGCCAGCACGGCGCCTATTCATTTGGATGTCACCATTTTTCCTCATATGTAAATCGCCTATAATCTCTGTCTTGCATTGGTCGAACCTGGGTTTCACAGGTAGTCAGGGCCGAATGGTGAACTGGGCATCATTCCCAGTTCAGGTAGAGGTTTTCCAGACCGACCACCAAAGTCTGGTTTTCCCTCTACTCCCCTGACTACTACTATCACAATTATTATAATCGAAAATTTGACTTAACTATGTAACTAACTATGTGATTGTGACTTGCAAGAGCTACTGGCTATTTATGCAATAAAGATACATACATACATACATACATACATACATACATACATATGGGTACATACCATAAAGACTCTATTTATAGCCGGGTCTAAAGACGACACAAATCCGACTACAATTTGAAACCAGGTATAATTAGTAGGGTTGCCCCGGGTACCGGGTAGCTACCCGGTACCCGGCATACCCGGCCTGTTTTGGGATACCCGGAACCCGGCCGGGTATATTTAGGTACCCGGTCTACCCGGCCGGGTAATTTAAATATTCAATTTTCTTACTTAAAATGCAAAATTATACAAAAAATATAATCCGATGGATTTCAAGATTTTGTACTTGATATAAAATAATATATTTGGAGAGAATAAGTACAACCTCGGCCAACACTTATTTGAAAATTACCATACAAATTTTTAAATTACTTTGAGCGCACTCACGTCAACGAGTTATCAATCAATGAATTTGCATATCTTGCACATAAAGAATGACTTGCGAAGCTTTTGTGCTATCTTGCTAATCGATTCGCAGGATATCACCTCGAAAGTCTCGCAAAATTTGTTTTGTGAGGTGATCCGAATCCAGTCAAGAAATAACTTTTTTAAGCCTAACAAGTTGGCTAAATGATTGCGATGATATCGTGAGTACGCTCTTTGTGTCTCCAACATGATTCTTGGATTTCTGTAATATCCACGTTCTAGCTCAAATTATTAGCTTGAGAAGTTGACATTTTTACCATATGCATATTGGACAAAGGTATAGGAAGCAAGTTCAAAGATAGGCTACATCGGTAACATAGTTGATCTGTGGGGGCCGTATTGGTGGATTAGGGGAGCAAAGTGTAACCATAGTGAGCGTAACCATAGAGAAGGTGACCCATACCAATTTTCAAAAATATTACTTCCATGTGAAATTTTGTACGGAGGTTGAAAATGAAGTCTGCACTGTGGAAATGTAACTTGTAATTTTTAAAGCTTATAAAATTGTTGCAAACTCAAGAAAAAGTTGAAAAAGTCCCGTTATTTTAAAAATATATGTTACCGGTACCCGGCCGGGTAGCCGGGTACCCGGCAAAAACTTTAGGCCGAGTACCAGGTAGCCGGGTACCGGGTAGTAGCACTGCCCGGGGCAACCCTAATAATTAGAGACCCGGATAAATTATTTTTTCGGTTATGCATAACTTGGAGCATCTAGAAACAGATGTTAAAGGAGTGTCATAATTAGGGACAAGCTTATTAAATTTTTCAAAGTTGGGCTCAAGACCCGACTATAAATAGAGTCTTTACGGTACATAATCCACTTTCTTTATAACAGACATCTTAACATTATCTATACGCGAACATATATGAGATGGAGATATTACTCAAAAATTTTGTTACATATTTAGGCAGTCACATAATTTATAATTTCCATATACACAATAAATACGCACATTAATGACATAATTATAATATAAATACTAGACATGCACCGAGTACCGAAAAAGTCGACTCGGCCGAGCACCGAGTACTCGGTTATATTTTTGCCGAGTACTCGTTTCTGCTCGTTTGCCGAGTACCGAGCAAGGCTCGGCCACCGAGTAAATTGTCAAAAAGATCATAAAAAAAATCATTGTTTACATAATATTTAACCACCAGTATCATTATTTTGAGAACTGGTGGACGGAATCACGTGAAGCTACTGATTCTTCTTCCTGTTCCAACATTTCGATTAAAGTTGATTATCGGATAGAAGTAACAAATTTCATTGGTGTATTTTTCAAGTAAGTTTGATGTTGATTGCAAAAATCCCATGATGGATAATTTGAACTGCGCGGTGTAAATACCGGGTAAAGTGGTACTGGATGCATATAAAAATGTAAGAAATACTCGGCCGAGCACGCAAAAATACTCGGCCGAGTCCGAGTAGTGAGAACACGGCCAAAACCTGCCGAGTACTCGGCAGCGCCGAGTACTCGGTGCATGTCTAATAAATACATACTATGAATTTGACTATATTAACGTTTTAATCTTTGCTATAAATTTATTCATCATGTAACAAATACTTCTGAAAAATTGAATTATACGAGCATGGCACTCGTAGAGGAAAGACGTCAACGCACCCAAAATTACAAATCCACACAAGATAAACAACGTGACTATGGAACCATTCAGTCCAAACGCCTCAGTCTCACGTTGTCCTAGTGGTTTCTCAACCGGTACCATCTCCAGCACTTGTCTCGCCTCAATTTCCTCCTCTATCCTGGCGTAAATCCCGGTCTCTATTAGCCCCTCGAAATATCGCGGGACTTTCGAAGAGCCCTCATTCAAAAACTCTAACGCGATCGGCTTAGAATTTAAGACGTCTTTCCCCTTGTAAAACTCCTTCGAGGAATACTTTTCCCTCAAAAATTTGTATTGCACCCGGAAATATTTGCCCCTAGTGACGAAAACGTTTTTCTCGGAACAATCAACAACTTCAGTTTCGATTTTGTGATTTATTTCGTCTAATGAATATTCTTTACTAGAATAGTCTAGCCCGCTAGGAAAATGTCCGTGACGGGGGTGAAGAAGGTTCAAATGCCATAAATCCGAAGCTCTTGATACGACTTGTTTGTCATTAGAAAGATCGCTACCTAGAGGAAATTTGTTGTACTCGGAAATGAGAAATTCAAAAAACTGAAAATATTGGACTCGATAATGCGAGTGTTCCTCCGCGGGCGACAATAATTTAAAGCAGTCCTTAGACTCGTAAGGGTTGCGAAAATTGTTATACTTCCCGTCAAGACTGTACTGATACGTGTGGGACAGCACGGCTAAATTATACCATTTTAGCAGCGGGAAATCTACCCGTTTCCTTAGTTGTTTTAAGCTTATGGGACCTCCACGTTGCTCTCCAATTAAGTCTCCAAAATTTTCTGGTTTTATTGAACTAAGTGGTGCATTCAAATCAGTGATCATCAACCCATTATAACAATTCGTCAGAATAACAGCCACTAAACACCAACTCCCTAGGACGAATCGGAACATGAAATGTGCCTCCAATTTTCTATTGGAGATCGTTGGCGGTTCTTCAAAAAGCGTTGATAGGACGAATAACCAGGGGCTAAGTGAGATGTTCCCTCCATCCAGGGAGACTTTTAGGTATAGATAAATTGACGTGAGAACGGTAAAAATTGAGATAAGCAGAGCTGTCCAAACCTCTTTCTGAAACGGATTAACGTAGAATTCGAAGCTGATAAAGGTCTCTTTGAAACAACTGAAAAATTCGAACCCTGTCCATATCACGGGTACCGATTTGGCAAATCCGTGTCTTATTGGATCATTAATTGTCTGCAGTTTCACCGCTCCGCAAGCCGTCTTCATATCAATGCAATCATAAGCATTAATTACCGTGACGTTGGCATGGCGAAACACGACCTGGGCAAGACTATAGCGATTACCCCTCTGTTTGAAGGGGTTAGTAGATGTCTCTGGATTAGTGAATTCTAAATTATTCGCGCCATTAAATGGTTCCAAGGAGGGTGATACTCTCCAAAATCTTGGAGCCAGAGGGATCCGTTTCGTGAATAACTTGCAGATGTCATTGATTTCTTTCAAGCACTTCACATTTGCCAAAGTATCGAACGTTTTTATACAAAGCTTGACGAGTTTCAGATTTCTAGAGATGTATGCAACCCCGAAATTGTAAATTATTTCTGAGAAAATTTTTGAACTGTTATCCAATAGACTGGAATTTTCAGAGTTTGTAAGGATAATTGTGTAAATATTTTTTGCTGGAAGAATTATCTTATACTCATTTTGAATAAAATGAAATTGTTTATCTTGCACAGTTTCGATTAAGGTGGGTAAATAGTAAGACTGCTTTTCAGGCCACCTTATTTGCGTGTAAGTCAAGAAATTTATGACGAACAGGGCCACACGGCAGGGATTTGGGCGAGCCTGGAACACGTCCGTGGTCACAGAGTGGTCAAAATTTTCAACATGGAAAATTAATGTTGGATTAACGAGGGGCTCGCTTCTCTGGAAAATTTTAGAGTCCTCGGCGTCATGAATGATTTGCAGGTCACAGTTGGTCTGCACGAGG